CTTGGTTGCAAATCCTTTATAGTCAATGACTGCCTGAAGTGTTGGACACATAGACATCACCAGATGCTGGGCTTCTTCCCTGGTGATGCTCTGCCAGCCCTTTACTGTAGCCGTCTGCACTTCCTGCTTGTGTTTTGGGTGTTTTGCCCTCAGTTTTGGCTTCAGCAAGAGAAACGCATGCTCAATTGGATTCAGGTCAGATAATATGACTTGGCCATTGCAGAACATTCCACTTCTTTGCCTTAAAAATGTCTTTGGTTGCTTTTGCAGTATGCTTCAGGTCAATGTCCATCTGCACTGTGAAGCATCGTCCAATGAGTTTTGAAGCATTTGGTTGAATCTGAGCAGATAATGTAGCCCCAAACACTTCAGCTTTCATCCTGCTGCTCTTGTCAGCAGTCACATCATCAATAAATACAAGAGAACCAGTTCCACTGGCAGCCATACATGGCCATGACATAACAGTACCTCCACCATGCTTCACTGATGAGGTGGTGTGCTTTGGATCATGAGCAGTTCCTTCCCTTCTTCCTTCTCTTGTCTTCCCATCATTCTGATAGTTGATCTTTGTTTTATCTGTCCATAGTATGCTGTTCCACAACTGTACAGGCTTTTTAGATGGTTTTTGACAAACTAATCTGGCCTTCCATTTTTAAGGCTAACCAATGGTTTGCATCTTGTGATAAACCCTCTGTATTTATTCTAGTGAAGTCTTGTCTTGCTTACAAGAGCAGCAGGATGAAAGCTGAAGTGTTTGGGGCTACATTATCTGCTCAGATTCAACCAAATGCTTCAAAACTCATTGGATGATGCTTCACAGTGCAGTTGTACAATGACCTGAAGCATATTGCAAAAGCAACCAAAGACATTTTTAAGGCAAAGAAGTGGAATGTTCTGCAACGGCCAAGTCATATCATCTGACCTGAATCCAATTGAGCATGCGTTTCTCTTGCTGAAGCCAAAACTGAGGGCAAAACACCCAAAACACAAGCAGGAAGTGCAGACGGCTACAGTAAAGGGCTGGCAGAGCATCACCAGGGAAGAAACCCAGCATCTGATGATGCCTATGTGTCCAACACTTCAGGCAGTCATTGACTGTAAAGGATTTGCAACCAAGTATTAAAACTGACTGTTTAATTAATGATTATGTTAGTTTGTCCAAATACTTATGAGCCCTTAAAGTCGGGGGACTGTGTGAAGAAATGGTTGTAATTCCTACACGGTTCATACTACATTTTTGAAAAAAGCCTTAAATGAAAGCTGAGAGTCTGCACTTTAAGCAGGTATTCATTGTTTCATTTAAAACCCATTGTGGTGGTGTACAGAGCCAAAATGACGACAACTGCATCATTGTCCAAATAATTATGGACCTGACTGTAGATGGTGTCATTTTCCTACAGCCATTACATTGTGAAATCAACAACTGCTTCTCGGTGATAATTTTGTTTCCACTTAAATTTGTGCTACCTTACGAGAAAATGAGGCAGTGTTAAATCGGTATGGTAGTTTACCAGCGTAACCTTCTTTTAGTCAGCGCAGAGCAGGTCAGGCAGACAAAAAACAATTAAACTCCTTTCCTATTTCCCTGTTATTAGTAAGAAATTACATCACTCTTTCTAGGAAATATATGCCTAAAATAAAGTGTCTTAACCCAAGTTTTGTTATTTTTACTTACTTAATTTAATCAGTTATACAATCACGTGTAATGGTGCAGTCCTGTAATGTATAATGAAGGCCCTTACCATGAGTTGAAACATAGTAATTTAAATGCAGCTGAAACAAGTTATATCTGACCTTAACATCTGAAACACCTCCACATTTTAATCTAATGTAACCCAGTTTAAACCTTAACACTGAATACACAGATGTCTGTTGTAACCTCGCAGCATCAGTGTTCATCTGTGAAGATTTAACCGGCTAAACCATCAATCTGAAAATATACTCAGGCACATCCTGCTGCTGATCAATAAATAAATCATATTAGGATGATCTATTAACAGCTCTACACATAAACTCCTCCAATCCTTCAAGGCTCTAATTTCCTCTCTCTCTCTCTCTCTCTCTCTCTCTCTCACACACACACACACACACACACACACAATCACAGCTTTCACACCTTGGAGATGTGAGCCTTTCTCAGAGCGACATTAAGCTTGTAAATAGTGCGATTAATTGAGATTTCTTATTTTTATCTGACCTGTGGGCCCCCGATGGGCTCCACAAGGGCCGGGAAATAGTGAAGAGATTTGCTGTGGGCAATCGTCCATCGTCTCGGAGGAGAAGAGGAAGAGAAGAAGGAAGAGAGGAACACTGACACTGTCACTGCTCCTCCTCGCCTCCTGTCAGGCAGCACTTACACACAAACACACCCCAGCTGCTCTAACCTCAGTTGCTCATGTATCTGTCATCCTCTTGTCTTATAATTCACATTCAACTCAGAAAATTACCTTTAAAAACAAAAAAGGTTAACACAATGCTTCAAGTCAGTTTCTAAAAAAATGATCTGATGCTGCGAGTCATTTATGTCCGCAGAGCAGGTGGGATTGGATACGAGTCAGTGGCAGACATGATGCTCCTGGGAGGAATGACCATCATCCTGGATGAGCATTTAAACAGATGAACCAGAGGATATCGTGACTTAATGACTTCATCTCAACACGTACATCTAACCTGTCTGCTCAGGTTTCCTGTATACAGGTATTTATATCCACCAACACATGAAAACAGCAATGACTTTACAAGGCTGCAGCTTGAGGAGGCAGATACAAGAAGACAGACGAGTTTGCAAAGGAAGGAGAAGTGTACTTAAAGATAGAATCTGTGCAATGCAAAAAACAACTACAACAATCAAATGCAAGAGATCAAGTGAGAGATTGAAATCCAAATAAATAACAAAATCCTTGATTCTTCACAGGGATGACTTTCCATTTATCGCCTTCACTCAGTGTTTCGTAGCGTGGGCGGTGTGAAACCAGCGGAGACTGTGAATGTGTTTGAGGGCTGCACAAATAAGCTTGACTTTAAGTTGGAACAGATCTCACTCAAGAAGTAAAGAGAGCGTAGGAGAGGGAAGAGGAGGAAAATGGCTGAGATGAGGAGTATTGATTCGAGAGAAGGGCATTGTGAGAAGTTTATGCAACACAGTACGGAAGCATGAACGACAGGAGAGCACTGCTGGTGGACGAGGAAGGAGGCAGCATGCAGGGGAAAACAAATGAGCAGGATGTCATTGTAGACGTATTGAAAGTTAGAGGTGAAGTAACTAAAGAAAGTGAGTGAGGAACAGCAGAGGATGGTTGGAAAAGACTAAACGACAGGTGGGTAGATGGAGAGATGAGGGAGGAGCAGGTGGATCGGCATGACATGAGGGGGAAAGGAAGACATTTTAAAGACAGCAGACAGGCAGGCAGGTAGAGGAAGAGTTGGGAAAGACCTACCAGGGTCTGTTGGTATCTCAGAGCCTTCCTTTGCGACGCATCTGCAGCCATTGACACGCTGTCACTGATCCAAAAATAACCTCGCTGGACACCCCAGCATTTCCAATGGCATGGGCAACACCATACACACACACACACTCTCTCTCTCTCTCTTATATAGATATATATACACACACACTTTACACCAGGTCAAATAAACAAACAAACATCTTCCAAAGTATTTCACTCTGCTACAAACTCATTCTCAAACACGCTCGTTACATAGACAAAGTCAAAAAATGCAGATAACTTCTTTCCCGAACGTGCTCTTTTCCAGATGATCCAGAGGCTGCGAGCCATCCAGCTCCACTGCAGACCTGACGGACACACGGACAAAGCAGAGCACAGCCATCTGATGAGGCAGTGAAGGACGCAGCGCTTTCCTTTATTAGAACTGCAGACACCTAATAACACACACACACGCGCGCGCGCACACACAACTTGTTGCCCTTAGCAGCACCCTCCCTGCCAGCCGGCCATTAGGTGTGTGTGTGTGGATGGACTGTTCTTGTTTGGACAGGGGTTGGTGGGGGTTGGAAGGGCACCCCCCATAGGGCTGCCCCTGCAACGTGAGCAGGAAGGTGCACACGACACCCCTATGACAGCTCACACCTAATCAGCCAATGATGCAAGGCAATCCCTAACATTCACATGCTATAGCAGTCCTCCCTCGGGATAAAAAAAATCACCCTGACTGCACCCTCCCACGGCAGGAAAAAAAAACACACCCCAAAAACGCTGTAGAGCTCGGCAAAGGTAATCTCTTTACTGCTTAACCTTTCCATCAGGTTCAGATATGTAGAGGAGCTAATACAGGAAGAGAGTTAAGTGCATATGTGCTGCACCTCATTCGCTAAAAGCTGAAAAGCCCACAGGCCATCAGGGTAGACCGCCACTGCTCGGCACCCCCGTGGAGACAACATCCCACTCAGACAAGTTAATCTCAACTAACTCGTCCTCTGGTTCCTCCTCTCAGGCTGATGAGACCGGCGGCCATTATGACAACCACAAAGACACAGACACACACAGATCCCCCTTAACCCCGCCTCGCTTTGTGGTCCACACGCCAGCGCATAACAGCCTAATCTCACAGCTACACCGGAGGCCAGCGAGAAATCTGTTACTCTGACCGCTCTGTGTGTGTATGTGTGTGCGTGTGTCAAGGGAGAATGACTGTGGACAGCTGGCTGGGCCTCTATCTGATACATGAAGAACATTATCACTGGGCGGCGGGCGGAGTGAGAGATACATACGTCCCAGTCACAGCATGGAGAGACCTGAGTGCAGCGGAATAGTGGGGAGCAAGTTATACTATACCTGAGAACAGAGAGGAGAGGTCGGGGACAACACACACAAACACAGCAACAAGGAGGATCAAATAAAGTGAAGCATGCACAGGAGTGCACATTCGTGCAGAGGCCTTGCACTCACGGTGGAGGGTTCAACTCAAACATATGTGCACATACACACAGTCACAAGAGATGCAGATACACTCGTGTGTAGGAAATAAACAACAACAGTTTGTCTTGTTTAAAAACCACGGCCTGTTTATTGTATAGAACATTTGGCAGTCATTGGTGTTGACAGAAATAAAATATCTCCCAGCTCCCCCCCATCACTGCACCTCAGCCGAGCTTGGCAGCAAATATCAACCTTCAAAACGTCTCACCCAGCAGGAGAGCTACCCTTTTATACTACTCCAACGTGTCATTTTTATAATTACTGTAACACAAAGGATAAGAAGGGCGAGTGCCTTCCAGACCAGGGTATACTCTCCCCCGAGCACCTCACACACACAGCTTGAAAGCATCTCTGTTAACAATCAATACTGTTTCGACCATATACTCTGTTTTCTTCACTACAACACTGTTGTAACAAAACACACTTTGCCTGATCAGGGCTTTTCCTGGAAACATCAATGCTGCCACAGCCTTGGATTTCTCTACGAGGGGGGCTGCCAAAGAGATATACAATACACTCTGAGAGCTCCACGGTCATAAATTCATCTAACAGATCATCATCACATGGCACAGGCTGCTGTAGAAAACTGCATATTGTTTATGGAAGACAAAATACATCCTTACTGTATCACATACAGTACAAAAACACACAAAAAACAGTAGGGCGACTAACTACATGTGCAGCTCCCGCACAGGGAGAAACACTGTAAGGAGTCAGAGTTAGCATAAAGGTCAGAGTTCACACGGTAGGCGTAAGACCCCACAAGTAGCACCACATTCCCCTGGCGGCCCACCACCCTGACAGGGACACAGATCTGATGTAACACAGCTAATATGGAGTGAAATTAGCAGTGGGTGCACTTTATAAAAATTCAAGGTTGAAAAGCTGAATTTTCCTGATTGAATGTCCACAAAGGAGAGCGAAAAAATAAATGAAACCATTCAAGGTCTTGTTTCAAAGCTGCCCTGTAGGTTCTGTTCTTCTTCATAAGGCAAACTATGTGAGAAAAACACTTCTCTAACAAGACCAGGTTAAAACCTCCTGCAGAGACTTTATCATTTAATCATCGCTGTAGCTGACTACACCTAGAGTAATAGCTGTCTGAAATCATGACAGTAAAGATCATTTTGAGCCGGAAATATATGTAAAGTTGATGAAACAGAGACATGAAATGCATTTGTCTCTGCTGTGCTGCCCCCTGCCTGTCGCCACACTAAAAACAAGAAATTTTCACAACTTACAACAGACATTATATACAAATAAGAGAATGAGCTTAAAAATCCTTATAAAAACAATTTTCATACAAAATAAAGCCACAAAAATAGATCTGTGTACAAAATACATCTTAAAAAGAGAAAGTGGAACCTCAAAGTAGCTGTGCGGTAAGAAAACAAAATACGATTCTGTCTTCGACTAAAAAGGATTATCAACTAAACCCTCTAACTGGCATAGACACAGATACATGAGTAGGTTGTATGCTAATACGCCCATTTCAGAGTACATGTAGATTAAAGTAAGCTCGCTCCTTTTTTCCTTTCCAAGATTTGTGTTTGTGTGTATGCACGTGCGTGTGTTTGTTCATGTCTGAGGAGGCAGTATTTACACAGAAAATATGAATGAATAAATCCTCTGTTTGGACGTGAAGTTGTACCAGAGGAATGTGTGTGAGTGTGTGGCAGTAATTGGAGTGGAATGAGCCGTTGTGTGAACTTATTGAGAGGTTTCGCTGCAAGGAATGGTCCTGTGTGTGTGTTGATCGGTCTTTGTGCATATTTGCATGTCAATACTGGGGCTGGTACTTGGGGAAAAGGTAGAGGTCTTTGCACAACGAGCTGGTGAACTCCGACATCTCTTTGCAGCGATGGTGGGCGGTGCCAGGAGCGTAACCCTCACGCTCCTTAATTTTCCCATTGACCTGGAGATCGACAAGAAAAACAGTGATGTCTTAGAAGTTTACCAAACAAAAGACATATTCTACACTGTGCATGCAGTATATGTAGGTGTAGGACACTAATGCCTACCTGCACCATGATGTCTGCAAGGTGCATGTCTCTGGCGTGGAGACGCAGTGTGGTGTTGAGTTCCTGGATGTACCAGGATCCTCTCTTGGTGTTCCGCATGGCTGCTGTGCCTTGAGGAGAGAGACATCAAACAAAAAAGGCTTAATACATCAAGTTTCGACGCAGGGAGAGAGAGCTAAGGTGGTGTCTAGTGATCTAGTCTTAAAGACTGGTAATGGGGCCAATCAAGGCATTTTTTTGACTGACTGGAATCGACTATATTGAGCTACACAGCTTGATCCAAATCTTTATTTACGTCAGCTGTCACAGAGGTGGTTTAACTCCCAAAGCATTCTTGCAGAGCAATCTCTCCCCCACTCTGCTGATCTCCTTTGTGTGTTTAAGAGCAGGGCTGAGCCCCGCCCGTGGCGATACACCACACACTTGTTTATTTATGTTATTTATCAAAGTTATGAGCACACGTTTCATTTCTGCTCAGTGTAAGAGTCTCTTGCGTTCGGCTATTATCTTTGGCCCACAGTGTTTCACCGTGGAAAGAGGAGAGGCAGACATTGGTGCAGAGACAGAGACAACTACAATCATCACATCACTGCAAGCGCAACAAAAGCCCTGCGAGCAAAAAGCCTATAAGAGTAACTTATTAGTGTAGCCTAATCCCTGCAAAAGATGTACGAACGATGACAATAAACACTTAACGCAATACTTTTTATTCAGGTAGGCTAACTCAGACAAGGCTGCACCAAAGCAACAAAGGGAGAGAAAAATTCCCTCAAGCCAGCAACAAGGCCAAAAAGATTTAAGAAAGGGTTTGTTATTTTATACATTATTTATAAAAATAAGTAAATAAAAAACAATACGAAAGCTTGGAAACAGGCACTTATTTCTTAAGGCATTGCAGAGCAATTCAGTTTTAAAACAAAGGCTTTACTTTGGATTGATTTCAATAAGTTTTAAGTACTTGAAGTGTGCACTGTGCAGCTGTATTATCTAGGAAAATAGGATCGGGATCATGGTATCAGATGATACTCAACACTGAATATCTAAGATCAAAGGATCAAAACTTGATCAGGACATTCCTTATGGTTTCTGCATGGTTTCGTACACATTCATTTTATTTACCGTGGCCCGCCACAATTAAGACATCTGCCACATTAGGCACAGTGAAAGTGAAACTTAACCGTTCAGTGTGCTGTGCTCTGCCTGCGCTGCATTCACAGACCCGCAAAGACTTTCAAATTTAAGGACACACAGGCAGGGAAGAAAAAAAAGGAAAGTTAGAGGCTCTATTTAATTTAACACTCCTAAGATTTTTTATATTAAAACCTGTATTTTTCAGCCCCAAGCTGATTTTGAGGCAACTTATCATTGCAGCTCCCCCTGCAGGTACAAAAGGCTTTATAGGTTTTCCACAAATGCAGTAGTACTTTCCCTGACCTGTAAACAGGCTTTGATGTGTAAAATCAAGGGAGTTCCCCTTTAAAGCCACCAGTATCCTCATATAGTGGTCTGGTTGCAGTTAGTCTCTGTGTAGGCTGCTAGAAAATGCTCATTATACTGCAGTTGGATACAGATGCAGGACAAAATCAACAGAGGAAAAAGACAGTCCACACAGTGTTTTTTTTGTAGGTTATTTTGCTACCTCCAGACAAATTCTCTTTACATTGCACGGATTACTGCACATCTAAACTGCCTCTTTATTTCCCACTACATTATTGTCTCTTTATACCTCATTATCACAGTTGCACAGTTCACACATGAATCCACCCAAGAATAACAAAAGGGGCAGACTTACAAATTTTCTGACCTTTAAGAGACGCAAAGCCACAGATCATGTCCGACCGCTGGGGCAGTTTAATCCTGGGCCTCCCCATGTCCTCTCTGTGTCTGGAGTTCGCATCCCCCTGTCCTTCCCTTCCAGCATCCCGCTGTTCACAGCCTGGCGAGCAGGTCCTTGCTGGCCCATCTATCTGCTCCACTCCACAGTCCATTTCCTCTGGAAGACAAGAATGTTTCAATTATGCAAATGTCTAACCATTTGTTGTTGTGGTTGTTTTTTTTTACGTTTTTGCCGTAAAAAAGTACTCAAATATAATTTTGGTCTTGACATGTTTTTTTATTATCACATATTTACATTGGTTTTGTGGGTGTTTTGACTCTGCCTTATCTCGCTCTTAAATTTTATCTGTCTTCACTTGCTCTCAACTCTCATTTGGTTTCAGTCTGGGTATCAAAAATGGTTGGACTTAGACTTGTCGCAGACTCAACTTAATTGGCCTTGACTACAACCCTTGCAAAAACACTGCATGACTTCTGAGCAAATCCAAGACAAAGCTGTTTGCTAATCAATGTCGAACTCATGGACCCACACTGTTATTGTGCAACTCTGTGATAAACCAAAAACTGAAAACCAACTTATTGTGCATGATCTTTGGTTTACAATAAAAGTGCCTTAGCTTCTGCAACATAAAACAGTCTCCACATTACTGTCATTTTCATAACCAGTGGAACCCTGAACACAGTTATTATTATTTGTTTTCATTGAAGCTATTCAGCAGTGGCCAACCACATCTAATGGCCTTTCACCAGCACACCTGTGGTTGGCTCTGTGGTGGAGCGGGGGAGTGTGTGACAGTAATTAGGATTGCTCTGGAGCGGTCTGAGGATTTGTCAGGGGCGTCATCAGCCACATCGTCAGACCACAGCCTCAATCACGGACACAGACTAATTAGCTATGAGACTGGTTAAGTTGCAGATTAATTACATTTCTGGATTATTATTGTTGTTGTATTACGATTTACTGAAGCCTACAACAGAACATTGAAATATGATGTATTATGACACAATTCACAGCATCTGGAGCTGAGTGGCTGATGGATAGCTGTGTGGCTGTCACCCAGCTTGACTGTCCCTGTGGCCAGGAAATTGACAGCAGACACCATCTGGACATGTGGAGGGACAGGCTGGCTGCTGACTTTTCTCTTATTATTTCTCTTGCATAAGAGGTCTTATTATATTGCAGGGATCCAACCAGTTTAACAGAGGTAGTCATAACACACACTGTGTGTCTTTACATTTGTCTATCACGATCTCTTATGGGTCTTCTCACAATTGCACATGCACAAAAACTAACAAATACAAGGCAGCCTCAGCAGGGACATGGACCATCTCGACTGTGTTCTTCTCATGTGAAGGCTCTGAGATCCTCCTGGATGTCAGGATTGATGGATGGGTGAGCTCAGGTGACCCAAAACACCCAGTAAAGGAAACTTGTTTTGGCAACCTGTATGTAGATTGATGCACATAATGTGGAACCAAGTTCACAAGTGCAAGTTCTGCCCAGAAACTTTAACTTGTACGCTGTTAGCAGCATCTGCTGAAGTTAGCACAACAAGCTGATTGGCGTGTGCATCAGTCACAATATGGCGAGTGTAAATGAAACACCAGAGCTGGAAGGCCTGTCTGTGGGTTCCTGTTACGCTACAACAGCAATGGAGAGAAAGTTGTGTATAAGACAAGGATGATGTGTCGGCGTTACTCCACCGTTGTAGAGTGTGTGAACAGAAATGCCTCCAACAAGCTTATGTTCATTTGACAGCATCACCCAGATGTGTTGATCCCCAAGATGAGGTAAAAGCAAATTGAAGCCAAATGCCTTATATCTGCTGTTTTCAAGCAGTTTCATTTTCAATTTCATATCATAAGAGGTGCTTTTCAGATTTTAAGTCTATTGTGACCTGCTGCCTTTTGGGAAAGTGTTTGCTCAGTGTTCATAAAGTGTAAAACAGAGGCTTGAAATGTTCTTTATTTTTCAGTGGGCAAAATACTACATCAGTCCCCCGGAGGTGGACTTTGTCTGCCTTTCACACTTGTTCTACTGTTTGTTCAAAATAAATATAAAGAAGTGTATCTTTATGTATGCTTTTTCCCTGCTGAACCCAACTCACACTGAACTGTGACTTCTCTGTCGTGTTACACCCCTACTATGTTTAGATTTTCCTGATTACATGGCATGTCAATAAAATGAACAATGACAGAAAAGCATACAGAATAAGATAGAGAGCCTTACCTCCTCTGCAGGCCTGGATAAAAAACATCTTTGGCTTGTTCTGTAGCAGGGGACAGTGTGCATTGTCGAAGGATTCAAACACCCAATCCAGCTGAAATTGACAAAAGTGACAAAGTTACATGTCTGAAAACAGTCTGCATTGTTACCTCTGAATGACATCATACATATAAACTTGGAAAAACACCAAACAAACACACCTGCAGCAGCTGTCCGTCTGTACCATATATAGCTCCTTCCACTCCGTGGGAGAGTAGACACACCACACAGCTGTCCACTGTCCGGTGGTCTGGCCGACGGCAAAAGGTCTCAATGCATGTCCTCATACCCTACACAAAAACATAAGGAATCAGGAAAACTGCAGTTGTAACACGTTGTTGCTTTTTAAATACTGAACACGTTGGTAAGGCAATCATGTTGTTACATAGATCACTCTGAGTTTAAGAGGTAAATCTATTGAAAGTCAAGGTCTCCCCACTCCCACAGCCAAAACCTGTGCTTTGCAAAGTGTCCTTTCAAGTGTCTTTGAGCAAGACACTCACAGCCAACATGCTTACTCGCGCCAAGTTTGTTAGAACAAGCTAAATGACTAAAATGTAAAGTGTGTTTGCTTTGTGATAACACCGCAAAACTGAACAGCATTGAAAACAGGAAATGAGTCAAATAAACCTGCCAAACAAATCTTACATGAGAGCACCTTTTCGACGAACAATAACTAAGTGACTTTCTGGAAATGATTCAAGGTCAAAAGGTTGTTCCTCTCCCTTTAACAACTTCCCTTTTCTAGCTTTGTCAACAAATCAAGTGTGCCTGTGTGTGTTACCTGAGCAGTGAGGTCTCTGTGGACTGTAACCAGGTAGTCCAGCTCTGTGAAGACCTTCCTGAGGACCTCGTCATCCACCTCACCTCCCTTCCTTGGGTCAAGGTCAGGTGCAGCACAAGGATCGAAGGTCACGTTACTGATCACCAAAGCAAAACCACGAGGGGATGAATTCATTCTGTAAGACTGGAGTGTGGGAAGTAAGAGAGAAAAACAAAAAAGTGTGGTAAAGAAATGAAAAGTGAAATATGGGATCAATGAGTCCAAAATCCAAAATAATTTGCAACAACAAATCAGCTGCGTCACTTAGTGGTGGTTGACACTTCTGAGGAAGGCGGAAGATTCCGCTGAAACATGTCAAGGTATGTAACATCCTAACACATGTCTGACATAAAAGATCAACTAAAGTCATTATCAGAAACGGAAGACATAATGAACACCATTGAACTATCAGAGCAGCTGATAAAGACGCGTCACAACCACCACCAAGTGACACTTCTGAGGAAGGCGGAAGTTTCCGCCAAAACATGTCAAGGTATGTAACATCCTAACACATGTCTGAGAATAACTAAAGTCATTATCAACAACAAATCATGTTATTATAAGGCCCTGACACACAAAGCTGACAGAAGGCCGTCAGGCAATTACGGTCCACCTGTGAGGGTCGGTCGCCCTTGTTTTTGCAGCGTGTCCCACACCGTTGGTACTAGTCAGCCTCTGTCGGCTGTTTTTTTTTTTTTATCCAATTTAGCCTGTTGATTCGCTGGTGGAGCCCATGAGTGAGAGAAATCACTGTGATTGTTAGTTCAGCTCTGTTCACGAGCAACACACGGAGGTGACAGAAGCAAAACCCTGCTTAATTTAAGAGGGCTTGAGACCAAAACAAACTTGTTACATTAGGTATGCTAATATTTTTAGCCATTGAGCTCTTTTCCAGAAACAGTTTGGAATTGTTTGTGTAATTTTTCACCAGTGCACCATAAATATTATTTGTTCTGTCAGCATTGGGTTGTATTGTTAATGTGCTAACTTGCTATCTAGCGTCTTGAATGTGTCCCGTCGGCCGTCTGGTTTCCCTTTTTGAATGATGAATATAGAATAGTGCTGCTTGCTGGTATGGAGACATATTTCCTCTCACACAGGCGCAAAATGTACATCCTAGTTGGCTGCTGGCTGTAGTCTTTGCGGTGTGCTCAAGTCCAACTTTTTGGCCGAGACACAGGCGATTTGAGGCAATGCAACATTTGGCCTTTGTTGTCTGCTAATTCTTTGATGTCAGTTTGGTGTGTTTGGGCCTTAAAGGCTTTAACATCCTGCCTGTATATGTTACATTATTCTATGATGACTTTTACAAATCAATTACAAATCATTTAGTGCTCTATCTTGACTCATAACCAGATACTGAAGACAAATAATTCTCAAAAGGTAAAACATAACCAAGTGAGTTACTGTTGAGCTGACCTGGTGAAGAGAAGTGTTTTACCTGCTGGCAGTGAGAGAGGTAAAAGTCAGGAGTGCATGGGAGCACAGGACTGTTGATGGGACTGTCTGCATCCAGACTGTACTCCATGGATTCTGCTGCACATACAAACACAGGCACACAAGGTCACAATGTTAAACTCAGCTTGTTACGAGTTAAACTGCTGATGCCAAGCTTTCACATCACTGAGTGCTCCCGCCGGCAGCTATGTGACAACAAACTTTGTACTACAATGCTGTGAATGAGTCACTCTTGGGGCGTGGCACCTGTAGGTAAAGACAGCAGCTGAATGCTAGAGCAACCACACTCCTACACGTCTCTCGGTGATAAGATTATATAACAAACAGTTCACACAGACTGAATTCTCTCAAGCTGCTGGCTACAAAATGTTTTTGTGCTGAAGTTTATCTAATTACCTGTCTATTTAAACTAGACAACAGATTCTACAGACACCACCCCTTATCCCCACGGAAACAGAAAAACATTGACAACAACACGGGACACAGAGAAACCTATTCTAACCTGAATGCAGGCCACACTGCAACACCACTCACCATGTGTCCTCATTCTCTTGGCAGCAATTCCTTCTTGAGTTGGAAGCGGAAGAGGAGAGTCTGAAAACCTCTGAAATTCAAAATCATGCATGAATCATTAATGACAAAACATCAGCTGCTTAACACAAAGACAGATAATGACGGATCTTGTTCTGTGCTGTGGCAGCAGCTGTTGTTTGGTGTGGGGAAAACCACAACTGCACTCCTAACTTAACTATTAGGGAACCTGCCATCTGGATGTCTAACGTAAGATGGATGTGGTTTGTGATTCTCACATCTGTCTGCTTATGTCTTCCTCCTTTCTTCAGCCTCTGTCTCTCTGTCTTCCTGTCTTCCTCCCTGACTGGTACCCATCCTCTGAATGGTGACTCTGAGCGCAGGTAGCTATCTGAAGCTCGGACTGGACACGATGAGGTGCTGCTCACCTCACTCTCTTCTTCTCTGTCTACTGAGGATGTCTGCAGAAGACCATTTAACTGGAGCACACTATTATCACAGATGTGTCACTTTATCTTTGAAATGTGAGCATCTACAACTGAACTGACAATTATGATAATAAGACATACAGTACAGGCCAAAAGTTTGGACACACCTTCTCATTCAATGCGTTTTCTTTATTTTCATGACTATTTATATTGTAGATTCTCACTGAAGGCATCAAAACTATGAATGAACACATGTGGAATTATGTACTTAACAAAAAAAAGGTGAAATAACTGAAAACATGTTTTATATTCTAGTTTCTTCAAAATAGCCACCCTTTGCTCTGATTACTGCTTTGCACACTCTTGGCATTCTCTCCATGAGCTTCAAGAGGTAGTCACCTGAAATGGTTTTCCAACAGTCTTGAAGGAGTTCCCAGAGGTGTTTAGCACTTGTTGGCCCCTTTGCCTTCACTCTGCGGTCCAGCTCACCCCAAACCATCTCGATTGGGTTCAGGTCCGGTGACTGTGGAGGCCAGGTCATCTGCCGCAGCACTCCATCACTCTCCTTCTTGGTCAAATAGCCCTTACACAGCCTGGAGGTGTGTTTGGGGTCATTGTCCTGTTGAAAAATAAATGATCGTCCAACTAAACGCAAACCGGATGGGATGGCATGTCGCTGCAGGATGCTGTGGTAGCCATGCTGGTTCAGTGTGCCTTCAATTTTGAATAAATCCCCAACAGTGTCACCAGCAAAACACCCCCACACCATCACACCTCCTCCTCCATGCTTCACAGTGGGAACCAGGCATGTGGAATCCATCCGTTCACCTTTTCTGCGTCTCACAAAGACACGGCGGTTGGAACCAAAGATCTCAAATTTGGACTCATCAGACCAAAGCACAGATTTCCACTGGTCTAATGTCCATTCCTTGTGTTTCTTGGCCCAAACAAATCTCTTCTGCTTGTTGCCTCTCCTTAGCAGTGGTTTCCTAGCAGCTATTTGACCATGAAGGCCTGATTGGCGCAGTCTCCTCTTAACAGTTGTTCTAGAGATGGGTCTGCTGCTAGAACTCTGTGTGGCATTCATCTGGTCTCTGATCTGAGCTGCTGTTAACTTGCGATTTCTGAGGCTGGTGACTCGGATGAACTTATCCTCAGAAGCAGAGGTGACTCTTGGTCTTCCTTTCCTGGGTCGGTCCTCATGTGTGCCAGTTTCGTTGTAGCGCTTGATGGTTTTTGCGACTCCACTTGGGGACACATTTAAAGTTTTTGCAATTTTCCGGACTGACTGACCTTCATTTCTTAAAGTAATGATGGCCACTCGTTTTTCTTTAGTTAGCTGATTGGTTCTTGCCATAATATGAATTTTAACAGTTGTCCAATAGGGCTGTCGGCTGTGTATTAACCTGACTTCTGCACAACACAACTGATGGTCCCAACCCCATTGATAAAGCAAGAAATTCCACTAATTAACCCTGATAAGGCACACCTGTGAAGTGGAAACCATTTCAGGTGACTACCTCTTGAAGCTCATGGAGAGAATGCCAAGAGTGTGCAAAGCAGTAATCAGAGCAAAGGGTGGCTATTTTGAAGAAACTAGAATATAAAACATGTTTTCAGTTATTTCACCTTTTTTTGTTAAGTACATAACTCCACATGTGTTCATTCATAGTTTTGATGCCTTCAGTGAGAATCTACAATGTAAATAGTCATGAAAATAAAGAAAATGCATTGAATGAGAAGGTGTGTCCAAACTTTTGGCCTGTACTGTATTCAATGATACAAAGTTCTCCGGACGTTACCTTTTGTTATGTGTAAGTCTTGTGAAATGTCAATAGTGACAATGACTAAGGTAATCCTGTTTGAAGGATTATAAACACCGTTCTCACCTCTCTCTTCTTTTCAGTTGTCTGCATGACTTGTCGCCCTGCAATTCCCTCTGGCTCTTCCTCAGGCCGAATGCGCTGTGAGCAGAAAACAGACTAAGAGCTGCACTAAGTCTGATAATAATCTGCTGTGTGAACTGTAGCTTCGTGTTGTGTGTGTGTGTGTGTGTGTGTGTGTGTGTGTGGTGATGTTTGACGAAGTGCACACTCACCTCTACAGGTGTGCCATCTTTTTCTGGCGATTGTGTGAACAGGTCACACAGGTGCTGCTGCTCGGTTTCTCGCAGAGCTGAGAGGAAGCTGCTAAAGGCTCTGGGCCCACGCTTTGGTAAGAGTAGTAGTAAGCGCCAGCTTCGTTTCTGAGATGTTTGCTCAGCCTAGAGTGGAGATCAGAAAAATAAACACCATTGGCAACATATAAATCTAATAGTAAATTTGATTTAGTATTCTCACACCTCAACCACTGCCCACTGTACACTCTCTACAATTGAGCGTTACCAGAATCTGTCTTACAATGAAACAGCATGCTTTTAACCAGACACTGGTTGATAAAGTTGGCATCTCAGGTGTTAACTAGTAAAGTCAGCCCAGGAGCCACCCATGCATTTATATGACAGTGTTTCAAAACTGAAGGCTTCGTTGCAGGCAATCTTTTATTTTGGCCTTTATGTGACTCAACCCGCCTGAGACTAAACCTCAGACTCACTAATCCCAAATTAACCTCTTACTTCACAAGTTCTCTGAAGGGCATAACCCAGTGGATCCCAACCTATGTGGCTGGTGACCCCTTAAAATCTACTTGTGACCCCTCATCTACGGTTGAGTCTTTAGTTTGGACATACATGGCAAGCAGTTCAGCTAAAGAGTGATGTTGTAAAATCGAAACTATGTTTAAAGGCCTAAAGAAGTGAACATATCGAGCATTTTTTTTAATAGTATTAAAATGAAACATCTGAAAAGGTTTCCTGGGATCACCTTTTCACCCCACAGGTGTACCATGGCACCAATTACGGGTTCCGACTCGTAGGTTGGGAAGCACAGGTTTAACCCACGGCCCTTAACTTGACCATAACCTTTACCAAAGTTGCTGGCAGGCCAGCAGCAACCTATCGACAGCAATGTAAGCAGATGTATAACATTCAAGGTGTAGCTATCTGACACAAGTTACAGTTGAACATCTGTTGACAGTCTGCTTATTACCTGAGGGTCCTAAATGAAACGACATCCATTTATCTGTGTTCACATACCATGATGCTCTCTGCCATGCTCTCAGTTAGGATGTCATCTGCCTGTAAGGATTGAATGAGCAGTGCATCCACCACCAGCTCTTTGCAGAGAGTAGCAGAGCGCCTCCGAAGAGCCCGTCTGTCCTGCTCCAGCATGCCACACTCCAACATTTTTCTCCAGCAGGCTGGACACAGGACAGCAAACAAAACACATGAGCCTCCAAAACAATAAAACAGAAGTTAAAGCACAGTTTGTGACAGGCACTGTCAACTTGGGCTGCAATTTGAAGGATTAATGTACAGATTGTGTTCTCGATTAATCATTTGATGTACAAAAATCTATTCAAAATAGTGAGAAAAGCCTGTAACAATATTCTTGAGCCTCATGTGGCTTCATCACATGTCATGTTTTGTCCAGCCAACATATCCCAACTACAACGTATCCAAATTACTATAATTTAAGACCAAAGAAAGCAGCATATGCTCACATTTGAGAAACTGGAAAAAACACATTTTGGGCAATTTGCTTGAAAAATGGCTTCAACGACTGATTGATTGTAAGAATAGTTGCCAATTGATTTTCTGTCGGTCGAATAATCAATAACTGACTAATCGTTGCGGCTTAAATGTCAACAACTCCAGCTCCTTACTACGAGTCTATGGTGTGGTCTTTTTAACAGTCTTGCTTCAGATACCACAGAGACAGTATCGCTATACACTGAGCTGCTGCTTGGCTCTTTTAATAGGCCATATCGCTACATAGTTACTCATTACACATCCGTTAGCGTGTTATCACAAAAGCACTTATCAATCATGTAAATATATACTTTTAAAGCCACCAGAAACGAACCAGTAACGATGCTAGCTCAACAATGCAGGTGTATACAAAGATACGGCTAATTTATGAGTTTGTGAGGACGATAACTAAATGTGCCAGCGTTATATTATCATATTAACAAAACGTCTCAATGCAAGAAACTGTATTTCAGTTATACTGACAGTTAACTTAGACGTTGATAGCTAAATACAGATGCTAACTAGCTAGCTAGCTCAGTTCGGATTGCCCCCCCTTTTTCCTTGCACGAAAGTGAGCGAAATATAATTCCTTCCAAACCTACTTCTTACCGTTCCTCTGTTTCTGCAACAAAATGTCAACCCGTCCAGTAAAACTAGAGAAAAGTGTCGACGTGTTTCACACTCTTTCACACAAACATCCCGTCCTCACCTTACTCTACAAACCAACTTCCGCGGGTAGCAGAGCTGCAAGCGAGGGGGCGGGGCTACAAACGTTATTGTTTTGGATTATGACCAATGAGAGTAAGCTAAATTTTGAGTGACGTTTAAAGTATCCAATCAGCTAGTACCGTGCAGTGAGGGTGCCACCTACCGTGAAACTACTGAACGACAGGGGCTATATTAAAGGGGATTTTGAATTTGAATCTGTTTTCTGTAAATAAATAGCCAATTGATAAGAAGCACTTTGAAGAGAGGCACAAACAGTTCATTCACAGAGAAGCATTTATCTTGAGGAGGATGAGCTGTTATTGGCTGGAAGGAAAGAGATTCAAAATACACAGTAATTAATAAACATGATTTCCAAGTATTATAATAGGCATGATCACAGCTGAAAGTCACTAAAACAACAAAACAAAACACAACAACATTGTACTTAACAGTGGTGGAATGCATCAATATATTTTACTTTAATAGCTTTTTAATATAATACTTATTTTTAATATTTTAATTTTCTTGTAGTTTGCTCCACTACTTCTATTTTATGCTATCTTATAATTCTGATTCAGAGAAATATTGTACTTTTAATTCCACTATTTCACAGATATAGTTTTTGTTACATTGTTACAGATCAAATTACCCAATACAATGGAAAGTATGTAAAATGAGGTCCAACTCAAGCATAATAATGCAGTAGTGTATTGAATGTTTTGGGGGTCCAAGCAGCACACTCACTGCAGGGGCGCTATTGTTTTTGTTCTCTTTCTTTCTTTCTTTCTTTCTTTCTTATTTTTCTTCACTAAACTGTTTGTGTAGCAAAAACCATAAAGCTTACTGAAATTGGCAGGAGAGTTACAAAATACAAATTGACCTCAAGGTGGTGCTGTAACAACCAAGTTTACGTTTTTGCAATTATCCCCAAAACGGCTTGGCTCAGACTCAAAATTCTTTCACCATATTGATTTCTCAATTCATCTGCATCTTTGCTTCAATGCTCCTCTGTTCTAAAAATGTAAAATTTTGCAACCTATTCTCAATTTTCTCTTTATCATATTCAAATTGTCCAGGTCCAAGTGTCCCGAAACTTTGGCAGGGTCATCCACAGACATCACTGATCTGATGTTATCAAGGAAATTTTGATATATCAATCTGTTTTGAAGTTATACATTCTAAGCATGTGTCTTTAAGTTCAATGTTATGTAGTAATTGTAACAAAACTTAATGCACATGTGCTTTTTCTTTTTGTAATTTGTACTGTACGCACAACATGTTCTGTTTCATCTCAGTTGTAACCGAATATCACCAATATATTTGACATTACACCTGAAACCAAAGGGAATGATATGAGATTCTTTCTCAGAATTTTATCACCAATGCTTTGACTGTTTTAAGTGTTTTAAGCCTAAAAAGACAAATATATATAAATATATATATACACCCGTTGTGCATGTGGTATTATTGCCTGAAGTTGTCAAGAAGGTATATGAGAAGCTTCCTGGTGTTGCAGTAAGTAACTCATCTGTCCTGGGGATACAAAGGGTGGGTTGGAGAGCTCGTCAGGAAAACTACCTGCACCTGGGTAGATCTCCTGTTTCTGCCCATCTGTTGCAAACTCTTGTGGTTTAAAAGTTGACATGCCATATCTTCTGCTACTTAATGAATTCCCAAACTTAAATTCCCAATCTCCTGTGACAAATATCCAATATTCAACATAAGTATAAAGAACTTCACTCAATTCATGGTTCATCCTGACAAAAAACACCATGACCATGGCTGCCTCAAGCTGGTGCAGCCTTTAGCTCACCTGGTAGAGTGTACACCCCATGCAGGCCTTTGCAGCAGCTCAATTCCAACCTGTGGACCTTTGCTGCATGTCATCCCCCAACTCTCTCCCCACTTTCCTGTCATTCTCCAGCTGCACTATAATAAAATCAAAAAGCTCTGAAAAGAATCTTTACAAAAACTATATGACCTACAATGACTGGCTGATTTAGGTAGTTGTTTTTTTCAGGTGGTCTGAATCTTTGCATTTTCCAGGATAACTTTTCACATAGTAGGATTATTTGTATTTAAATTAAAATACATGGTATGCATTCCAGATCTTAAATAAAATAGAAATTCAGTATATATGTAGTCATGTAAAACCTGTTTCTGGAAGTAGATTTAAATAGGTCAAGCGAGCATCAGCATACAGTGATGACCACCATGAATCATTTTACAGGGCATCAAGAGTTTTGCTTCTTGTCAATTAAAAAAGAAACAAGCATTCAAATGCCTGCAATCTGCTTGGACCCAGATAAAAACGGCTTTAATCTAAAGTTGAAAAAGGGGAATTTAGAACAGCAACAACAATAACAAAAACCCCTGTCAATAGAAAGAGATGACTTTATTGGTGATGTTGTGACATATAGAAGTTTACAAGAAAGCAACAGCTGCAGTTGGAGAGGAATAATACTTCCTAATTTTGAATCAAACCCTTCCCTATCAAATACATTATTCATCATGACTAATAAAATACAGTACTGTACAGTCATTACAAAACATTTATCAGGAAGTGCTTGCCTCTGCCTCTGTACTGCACCCAGCTCAGATGCAACAACATACTCATGACCAACTACGAGACAGATGGAGCTCATCAAACTTAAAGGTCCAGTGTAGAATTTGGTGACATCTAGCAGTGAGCAGTGCAGAACTGAAACTGCTCCCGTGTGCCAAGAGTGACTGTGGTGGCCGATGGGAATACGCCAATGGCAGCCAATGTCTGATTTGTTTATTCTGGGCAACTGTAGAAATAGACTCACAAGTCAGTCTTTAGGCGCTTTGCTTAACTAAATCATCAGAAGGCGGAGATCTCTGATTGTCTGGTGGCGAGACTACTGTAGAAACAACAATACGGATTCTGAAGAAGAGGACCTGGTCCCTATGCAGATATGAACTGCTTCATCTAAGGTAACAAAAAACACAACTGTTTCTTATTTTCAGGTGATAATAAACTTATTAAAACAAAATAGTTCTGAATATTATGCACCATTTCTGCCAGTTAAATAGGTGCCCCTACATCCTATACACTGGACCTTTAGTACATGACTTCTTGTTGTTCAAAATAAGTGGCCCACCCCACGTTGGTTTATCATCACTTTGCATTTTTCGGTTCACCTCACAATGCAGGACTATCATATAGTGTGTAGACATGCACAAAGTAGGAGCTATGCAGACGAAACTAATGAGTTTTCATAAACATACGGTAAGCAGGCAACTGTTGCCTCACAGCAGACATTTCCTGCTATGTAACAAACATGGCCACAGCAAACAAGCATAAAGTCAACAGTGAAGACAGCTGCTTTCGGGAGCGGTAGAAGGCTTTTTCACTTAAAGATGAAACAATTGCGTTTGTCTTATTTGCATGTAATTTGTTTTAAAAACTTGTATGATGTGAAAAGCAGCTGGCCCCTAGGTACTTTCACATTATCTAAGCTGGCACCCACTCAAAAAAGTCTGGACATCCCTGGCTCACACATCAATGCTTCTGTAATAGTAATGTCATAATGTCCATCCATCCATCCATCCATCCATTATCAACCACCAATAAGAAAGCCGGGTCACGGGGGCAGCAGGCTGAGCAAAGTTTTCCCGACATCCCTCTCCCCAGCAACACTTTCCAGCTCCTCCAGGCCCAGAACACCTCCAGCGGGAGGCGCCCAGGAGCCATCCAGATCAGATGCCCGAACCACCTCAACTGACCCCTTTTGATGTGAAGGGGCAGCAGCTCTACTCCGAGCTCTCTCCAGATGTCTGAGCTCCTCACCCTATCTCTAAGGCTGAGCCCAACCATCCTTCTGAGGAAACATATTGCAGCCGCTTGTACCTGTCATCTCATTCTTTAGGTCACTACCCATAGCTCATGACCATAGGTGAGGGCTGGGACATAGATGGACCAGTAAATCAAAAGCTTCGCCTTCTGGCACAGAGGCCGCAGCGCCAAACCGCCAATCCATCGCATGCTCCATTCTACCCTCATTCATGAACAAGACCCCAAGATACTTGAACTCCCTCACTTGAGGCAGTAACTCACTCCCAACCCAGTTGGGACCGGTTTCCCGCAGAGAACCATGGCCTCAGACTCGGAGGTGCTGATTCTCATCCCGCCCGCTTCACACTCGGCTCCAAATAGCCCCAGTGCATGCTGGAGGTCATGGTGTGATGAAGCCAACAGAATCACATCATCTGCAAAAAGCAGAGATGCAATTCTGAGGTCACCAAACCGGACCCCGTGACCTTTTGGTTTGGTCTAATAATGTAATATAATGAAATCAGATTCACATGGGGGACATTTTTATGCAGTACTTTAATTCATACTTTAAATACACTGTGTTGATAACATATGTACTTTTACCCAAGTAAAGGATCTGAGTACTCCCACCTCTGATCAAAACACATGATAAACAGTTTTCAAAGTTTGCTAGTGGGCTAAAAGTGAAGCATTTGTTCCCTTAATTATTCACTTAAGTCCAAAATTTCAGTTTTAGCAGTGTGATAACTTTGAGCTCTACATTACAGCTCTACAGTATTTAATTAAGATACACAATTAATAGAAATGTAGCCTAATCTGCATCATGTCTCACATGATGCAGATTAAAACGTAATCATTAAAATGAACACACCTCCTTTCTGTTTGTCTCTTTCTTTTAATTTCTGTCTTTCTTTCTCTTTCTCTCTCCTCCTTTCCTCCCCCTTCCTCTCTCTCTCCCCTCTCCTCAGGTTTACTTCACCCTCCCCTGCTGACTATCTCCTCACCCTCACCGTGTGTGCTGTCAATAATTGATGATCCTCACTGACTCAAAGGGTAACAGGTCCGGGAGAAAATGTCTCATCCATTTCTTTATTTATTTACAAGTCTATCTTTAAGTTCAGTCAGTCTGACAAACCACCATGACTGTTTATTCCAACGGGAGGATCGATGGCATGCAGCAGCCCGACCGTGTCCGTTTCATAGTCTGTGGCAGCTGCTAACACCTGTGAGCATGAGCGGGTTAATGCTGAATGTCTGGCTGACAGCAGGACAGAAGGAGGAAAGGGAAGCTTAAATGAGTGAGAGGCAGGGGGCAGAGAGGAGGAGGAGTGACAGAATGATAGAGTGAATTAATTCAACCTTAGCCAGCCCTGATTGACTCAGCAGCAAACTGGCATGTACAAACATTCACAGTGACACCAAAGCCATGGAGAGAGAAAAGAGGAATGACATGTCTTTCTCCAGAAAGAGAAGTTTCACTTTTGGGGCATATGGAGGGTGAGTAAAGACGCTGTTTGTCTCAAATCAGGACCGACATTTTCCAGTCTGTTGAGTAGCTACATAAATAAATGGCATTATGTGTCTTTGTAAGATGATTTGTTTTCTTCTGCGAGTAGTTCTCACTTCCTTGTTTACAGTGTGGACAGATTCACATGTGGGGATGAGACGAGGTGAGGTTTTATTTTCCATCTCTTTGCAGCTGTTTCAAGCCTAACATTATTGTATAAATTAAGATCTAAATGAGAAGTGATGAATTGTGCTGTAAATTAACCTGTTGCTGCAGACCTGAATCTGCAGAGGACAACATACTGGACATCCTGGACTCTCCTGCCAGGGACAGAAAGCCTTTCCTCCCTGCCAGCAGCAACCAGAGGGTGATATCATTATCATGTTCAGTGTGCACATTCCCCTTCGTATTCTAATTGACTAAACTAAACAGATTTCAGTGCTCTGCATTTCTGAGAAGTTTCCATTCGCAACTGAACCATTTGTCATGTTCCTCTTCCTCCCCTTCTCCTTCCCTTTCTCTTCGTCTGCATTGTGTCTGACGTCTGCTGCCTGTTGTTCGTATCAGGACACAGAGCTGTTTGAAATCATTGAAAAGCTGCAGGTGAGTTACAGCACCATTGATTTTGTGTAGTGCGTGTGTCTGAGCAAGAGAAGTTTCTTATTATCTTATCAATACTCCCCTTGTCCATCAGGGCAGCAGGATCGATGAGCAGCGGTGTGAATTCCCTCCTCCTCTGAAGGTTAGTCTTCAATCTGAGTTAAAAAAAAAACCTCTACTGTATATATGGGTTTGATCCCGTATGCCTGTGTGTATGTTGACACTGACCTGTCTTTGAACGTCACAAGATTTGTTTCCCCAAACAATGGAAACGACAAGCCCTCATCATCATCATCAGGTGCTCATTTGTGTCTATTTTAGTCTCAGCTTTTAACCATAGGTGGAGACCTGCCGCTCATCCTCCCGCCGAGTCAGGGGGGCTACTGGGTAGACCCCCCTCTGGACAGGCTTGTAGATGTGAGTCCCACCTCCTCTCACTGTGGCCTTGATGATTCAGAGAGCTACGACATCATGGAGAGAGACGGGGAGGCCAAAATCTACCAAGAGTTCTTCAGCTCACGAGTAAGCAGACTTTATCTAAAGTCTCGAGGAGTGTGTTCTCTTTTCTGCACCTATGTTTAATCATCTGTTGTTCTCTTTAGTATCATCACTCATTCACAGCAGTGGATCCGTCTTTGGGGCCTCTGGTTCTCTCCGTGTGTCTGGAGGAAGAGGAGAGCAAGCTGCGGGTGATACTAAGGTTGAGATCTTGAGCCATTTTAGGCAACTATGACTAATAACGTTTGTATCATGATTGAAACATTTCCCAGGGCATCACACTTCTCCTTTCAGTCCCTTCCACTCACAAATGTGTTGTTCATTGTAACTTCCTGTGGATGTTTCAGCTTCACTGTGCAGAGTGATGTTTAAGCAGTCTTTACATTTACATGTGAATGTCTCTGTACAGTATTAATTCCAAGCACTTCTGCATCACAGACCAAATTGTGTTTCTTGCCTCACAGAATGAAGGAGTGCTCTCTGCATGGAGTTTTCTCTGCCTCTCTTTTCCCCAACATCCCATCAGCTGTTGAATTAGCAAAGGTATCAAACTACTTAACCTGGTGGTAGAAGTATTCATACCCAACAGTTAAAGTAGCAGCACCACACTCTGAAAAACAACCAACTATATTTCAGTAAAATACTTTAAAGGAATATTTCTCCCACAAAATGACCATTTGCATTAAATTACTCACTGCGTTTTACCTTGAATTTCTTTCAAACACAGTTCAGTTTATTATTCTGAAACTCCAACAGTCCAAAAAATGTCTAATTGTACCGAAACCCCCATTGCCTGGACACCCGTCATCCCCAAAACGAACTGCCATTGCTATGAAGGCACATTGCTCCGAAGAAATACTGCACTCTCAAACGGATCATCAGACTTTTCTGGTGCCAATTTTGTTTTCCTACTATGGCAAGGCATGACCTGCCCTACTCTGCCTCTGATTGGCTAGTTGGTTGAATTGGTTAGGTTTAGGCATTAGGAATGAGATTAGTAATGGTTTGGGTAAGAATATCAGGGTGCCCGTCTGACTGATTACAGGCTATGAAACTTTCTAACTACAGCACTGAGCCTTTGCAGCAATGAGCATTTGTTTTGGGGAAAAAGGGCTGTTGGACAAATGAGCTATTGGTCATATGGGGCATTTTTCAGAAAATTGGGGTGTAATAGTGCGCTGTCAAAATGATGGCATGGCACCCTGGGCACTGCTGAGGTGCCCTTCAACAAAGCACCAAAGCCCTAGCTGCCAGGGGCGCCTATCCATGGGCAGTTGTCTCATTAATCTCTACATAAATGCAAGTGTGTAGTTCCTGTTGGTGCATGTGTATGAACCCTTGGATATCAATAAAGTAGGTCCTCCTTTTGGGTAGTTTAATTCATAATAATCATTATATCTTACAACCTGATGATATGTTCAGTAAAAAAGTAGTGAAGCAGAGGTAAAAAGGATCATAACACAGAAATACTCAAGTTAAGTATCTCAGAATTGTACTTCAGTACAGTGCTTGAGAAATGTAATCAGTTATTAAAATGACCCCTGTTCTCTTTAGATGCTGTGCGACAGAGTGACTGTGTCAAAGTTTGAAGTGGTCAGCTACCTCAAGGTAATGCTCTAAAATGACCAATTATTAAATAAAAAATGACCATTTATTTAAAATCCTCTCAAAGCTCATCTCCGTCTCAATCATCCCTCAGGCTCCAGAACTCATAACTGCATTTGATGAACACAGAGTGTCTCCAAATTTCAAGTTTGGCGTTTTGTACCAAAAGGACGGGCAGGTAGGAAACTGTGCAGAAAATGTCCAACATTTAGAAAAATGGCTGAAATTTGGCACCGTATCTTCTCAGACAACATCTGTCTCTCTGTAGTTCACTGAGGAGGACATCCTCAGCAACAATGAGGAGAGTGAGGAGTTTAAAGAGCTCCTTTCTGTTTTGGGAGAGACGATTCAGCTGCAAGGCTTCTCTGGGTAAAGCGCATCATGTTGATGTCGTTTAGCAGGACGAATGACACATGCAATGCGTACAATCACATGATTTCTTCGTTTTCTCAGGTTCAGAGGCGGACTGGACGTGTGTCATGGTCAGACAGGAAGTGAAGCCGTCTTCACTTCCTTTCACGGGAGAGAAATCATGTTCCATGTCGCAACTAAACTGCCTTTCACAGAGGGCGACCCGCAGCAGGTCGGTTACTGTGTCACCCAGATGATTCACAGGACAGTGTCTGAGGGTATTTTTGGCATTTGCTGGAAAACAAGTTTTTTAAACAGATAATGACACACTTTTTTTCTCTCTGCAGTTACAAAGAAAAAGACACATTGGTAATGACATTGTAGCTTTGGTCTACCAGGATGGCCAAACCCCATTTTTGTCTGACGTTATCAAGTCTCACTTCCTGCACTGTTTCCTGGTGGTCAGGAGGATTCAGGATCCAGAGGAGACAGGTGAAACTGCGTACCAGGTGAGCGAGAAACTGTCCTGGTAGACAGCCCTATAAATAGTGGAGCAACTTTCATCTTGTTTTTCAAAGTTAACTTCTTAACCATCACACTATACTCTATATTCTAGAGCCCAAACAATGCTCGACTTTTTAGGCTGATATTGATATTGAAGAGAGAGAGACCTCCCCCTTTTGCCATCACAACTGCTTTAATTCTCGGTGGCATAGATTCAACAAGGTGCTGGAAACATTCCTCAGAGATTTTGGTCCATATTGACATGATAGCATCACACAGTTGCTGCAGATTTGTCGGCTGCACATCCATGATGAGAATCTCCCGTTCCACCACATCCCAAAGGTGCTCTATTGGATTGAGATCTGGTGACTGTGGAGCCCATTGGAGTACAGTGAACTCATTGTCATGTTCAAGAAACCAGGTTGAGATGATTTGAGCTTTGTGACATGGTGCGTTATCCTGCTGGAAGTAGCCATAAGAAGATGGGTACACTGTGGTCATAAAGAGATGGACACGGTCAGCAACAATACTCAGGTATGCTGTGGTGTTTAAACCATGCTCAGTTGGTACTAAGGGGCCCAAAGTGTGCCAAGAAAATATCCCACACACCATTACACCACCACCATCAGCCTGAACTGTTGATCCAAGGCAGGATGGATCCATGCTTTCATGTTGTTTACGTCAAATTCTGACCCTACCATCTGAATGTCGCAGCAGAAATCCAGACTCATCAGACCAGGCAACGTTTTTCCAATCTATATTGTCAAATTTTGGTGAGCCTGTGTGAACTGTAGCCTCAGTTTCCTGTTGTTAGCTGACAGGAGTGGCACCTGGTGTGGTCTTCTGCTGCTGTAGCTTCAAGGTTCGATGTGTTGTTGGTTCAGAGATGGTCTTCTGCAGACCTTGGTTGAAACCAGTGGTTATTTGAGTTACTGTTGCCTTTCTATCATCTTGAACCAGTCTGGCCATTCTACTCTGACCTCTGGCATCAACAAGGCATTTTCACCCAGAGAACTGCTGCTCACTGGATATTTTCTCTTTTTGGGACCATCCTCTGTAAACCCTAGAGATGGTTGTGAGTGAAAATCCCAGGAGATCAGCAGTTTCTGAAATACACCAAAAACCATGCCATGTTCAAAGTCACTTAAATCACCTTTCTTCCCCATTCTGATGCTCAGTATAAACTTTAGCAGGACGTCTTCATCATGTCTACATGCCTAAATGCAGTGAGTGCTGCCACATGACTGGCTGATTAGCTATTTGAGTTAACAAGCAGTTGAATAGGTGTACCTAGTTAAGTGGCTGGTGAGTGTAATTTTACACCTGGTCAAACCTCCTGAATGTCTGGAAGTAAAGTTATCATAGAAAAAAGGTATGCATACATTAGCAGATGCTGGGCTAGTGCCTCTTCTCCAACATGCCGGACAGCACTGGAGAAACACTGATTTGTACCGCCAAACTGTTTTATTCATTGTTTTTACTGGTTTAAATCACCTGGTCTGATTGTTTTGGAGAGGAAGAGACCTCTGCAGATAATTCAAAACCTGGTAAAAATCTGCAATCTTCACTGCTAGATGCCAATAAATCCCTCTAAATCTCACACACTGTTCCTTTAAGTCATAAGTCTGATCAAGTGGGACATTTTACAGTAGAAAAATACACTTGTCACTGCTCTCTGGTGGAAAATCTGTGCAATTCTGAACAACCTTAGCATTGCTGTGCTATGGATTTTGCTACTTTAATTAAAGTGTGAAAATACACACTACTGCTGATATATCTGTGTTGATATCAGCTAATTTCAGCCAGGATGGTTTATCAGTCTGATACTTTTCTCTCCTCATCACAGGTTTCCGTCACAGCCAGAGAGGATGTTCCTCCCTTTGGTCCAGTCCTCCCTGATCCTCCCATCTTTAGAGATGTAAGATTTTGTTGCAGCAAAATCATATTTTAGTGTATTAATAGAATGTTTAGTATGTATGCTGTCTGTTTCATTTGCTATTATTCCACCCGTCCTGCCTGAATTCACACCCTCTTTACCTGAATCACTGCACTAGGCATGAATTATTAAGATGCTTCACAACTCTTTGTTTCCTCTGTCCTGTTTCCAAGCGTTCCCTGCTGAGAGAATTCCTCCTGACCAAACTCATCAACGCAGAGATTTCCTGCTATAAGGCTGAACGATTCAGCAGACTTGAGGTAGAGGAAAAAGCTCTTCTTATTTCTGCTCTTTATAAATGAATTATAATAATAATTTCTCTTTGCTCTGTGTGCTCTCCTCTCTTATGAAGCTCCGCACTCGTTCGTCACTCCTGGAGAGTCTGCAGGCTGAACTCTCCACCCGTTCCCAGTGCATGATGGGGGATCCATCACTTTCTGGCTCTGAGGGTACACGAGGGGCGACTGAAGGGAGTGGAGGATTCATTGAAAACTTTAAGGTGAATGTTGCCCTCAAGTTTCAGAAACTGTCTCATGCTTGACTTTATTATTTTATCATTTCCTTCTGAATCTGTGTCATAGAGAGCCATAAGAGTGCGGAGTCACTCCTTTGAGACTCTCGGGGTGCCCAGGAAGACTGGTGGCAGTGCATCACAGAAACCTAAGGTAAAAAAAAAACATCAGCAGTGGGATTGAATGTGTTTGACTGAGTAAATACTTGAGCTAATATTCTTTTCTAACCTACTTTACAGACAGAGAAAGATGGAGAGAGGTAAGTCTTATTATAAATGGTGAACATCTGCTTTTTATATGATTTGAGTTGGAAATAATAAAACTTTTTCCTGCTTTCAGTGACAAATCTCCAGGACCTCTGCCTGCTGACAGTTTGGGTTCAGCTGAAATCAAAGACCAAGCAAGCCCTCAAGAAGAGACCCTATAAAAGGAAATATTAATATGTAGATTTTAAATGTTAATATAATTATAGACATTGCTCGCCTAAATGGTTGCTACTTTATCATCCTGCTTATATGTAAATAGAGTGTAAAAGTAAATAGTATTTCTAAGAATATAATTATTTTACTGTCATAGTGATACTTTACAATGATGAAAATATTAACATTGTATTTCAGTGAAATGTTAAACAAACAAATATAACGACTGCCAGGAAAGGCTCAAGTGTTTTGTGTTTATACTGTTGTGTTTTTATTGTCAATAAAAGAGTTTCTTTCAATGGGGGATGTGAAGAGAGGAAGTAGGGAGGAGACAGAGGTGGGGACCAGCGGAGGAAATTCAATTAAGATTAGAACAATATGGAGAAAATGAAGAATGATGACTGTTCTGATGATGAAAATAGGTTTAATGTGCCCAGTAAAATAGGATTATTAGAAAGAGTTGATAGTGGCACTTTAGGAAACAAACACGTTACACTGAAAATAAAAAGAAGCAGAAGAGAGGAGGAAGAATATGTCAACGGAAGAAGTATTTCGATTTTATGCATATAAAAATACTTTATAGTACAAGTCTGCAGTAAAATTTACATTTGTGAACATTTTTAAGGGCTAGTATAATCAGAAAAATACACTATATTACATAAGTGGATTATTATTACTGATACTATAATGTGTGGACTGCATTTTAGGTTTTCTTAGTAAAATCTGAATCTGTAAGTAACTGGTAGTAAAAATACTACTATTACAATAATAACAATATCAATAAAGTGATATATTTTCCTCTTAAATGTGTGGTAGCAGCATATAATATAAGTAACTCAAAACTGTACTTAATTGGAATACAAAACAGTAACACATAACAAACTAAACTTATATTTTGACTATGGTACTTGTATAAATATTTCATATTTTTAGGCTATATGTTTCTGAGCATGTATTGAAGTGTGGGGTTCTTAGGGAGGGAAGAATGTAATATTAACAACAACAAAAATAGCCTAATAATAATTATAATAATAATAATAAGAAGAAGAAGAAAGTGATATATAATATATGATACAATTGTTTGTTTATGTGAGTGGGAGAACTACGTGTAAATATTTAATATTTATAAGTAAATAATGTAAAAAGTAGGTAATTAGGTCGATTTAATTAAATTAACAATCAACTAATACATTATATTATATAAAAAAATAATGTAATGTAGAATAATCTATTATAGTTTAATGTTATTATTATTATTATTATTATTATTATTATTATTATTATTATTGTTATAATTAGTAGTATGAATTATATCTATTTAAAATAAACAAAATGTATTGTAGAAAAATAGTCCCTTTTACCTTTAATGCACCGCACTACACTCCGGTCCAGTAGTTGGCGGTAATGCGCCTATAAGCCAACCGCCAATAGTTGCGTCGCAGTAGAAGAAGACGGAGAACGCAGAGTAGAAGAAGAAAATGCGGAAATCGTTTTACGCTGGGTTGCAGTTGCTCCCATAGGTTGCTCCAGTGGAGGGCAGCAATGTGCTGTTTAATTCCGGTGTTGTGTCCCTACTGGTTTTCAATTTAACAGGTTCCCTTACCGAACAGCCGCAGATGTGCTCCGCCTCCGTCAGCAGATTTGTCACAAATTCACAAACATACACAACATATTACTGGCGATCTTAAAGTCGCAGATGACGCAAATTTGTGTATATCATATTTTCTTTCCTTTCTTTTTTTAATGTCGCTGGTACGTAGTGCTCACTTACAGAAGCATATTCGCTGTGGTAGATGTGGGCTGCGACTTTAAGATCGCCAGTAATATGTTGTGTATGTTTGTGAATTTGTGACGAATCTGCTGACGGAGGCGCAGCACATCTGCGGCTGTTCGGTAAGGAAACCAGTTAAATTGGAAACCACTAGGGACACAACACCGGCAGCCTGACACTTTTATTGAGCCAGTCTGTGACAGTGTCATCAGCTCTAGCTTACTGTAGCCAACTTAAAGCTACGTCTTATTCAGCTAATGCTAACAGCAGTTCTAGCTAATGTTACGTCTGTCTGTCTGTGATAGATCTGTGATAGATCTGTGATACGTGACTAAACATCACACCGAGAAACCCTGCGTCAGGTCAGTTCAACTTTAACACACTGAGCTCTGCACAGATAGTCTGCAAGTAAAGGAAACGCTCTCTGAAGTTCACCTAACGTTACACTTCATTGAAGCATAGTGCAAACTAAAGGAAGAGCTACTGAGCCTTCGGACCTGAAGATGACATCCAAGAAGGTGATCGAGGTGTTCTACGATGTGGTCTCTCCTTATTCTTGGCTTGGCTTTGAGGTTGGTTAATTTTCAATGTCAGCTCCACCAACACACACACACACACACACACACACACACACACACACACACACACACACACACACCTGGTTTAAAATTAAGATTTTACACAGATTTTTTTTTCTTTATGTTTACAGGTCATGTGTCGCTACAGACATGTGTGGAATATAGAGCTCAAACTTCGCCCTGCTTTTCTGGGTGGCATCATGCAAGGAGCAGGTATTTAAAGAATCAGTGGTGGAAACTGACATTTTCCCACGCCCTTAAGTACAGTTCTGACGAAGCTCTACCTGAGTATTTCCATTTATTGTTACTTTTGCATCAAAAATTAGAATCAAATAATAGACTTAAATCTGAAATGGGCCATCCTGCAAAAGTAGTGCTTTTACTCTAAGTGCTTAAGGTATATTTTGATGCAAAAACTTGTGCACTTTGACTTCAGTAACATTTTGAATTCAGGACTTTGGCTCATATTCATGTGGTTCCTGTTAATGATGTTATATCTCATTCAATATTTGTCTTTCTATGACAGGGAACAAGCCTCCTGGTCTGGTTCCAAACAAATTCATGTACATGAAGAAGGACCTAACCCGCTTGTCAGAGTATTTTGGTGTTCCCTTGCAAAAGCCATCCGAACCCTTTGAGGCCATGTTCCAAAAAGGTATATACGAGCAACACCCTCGTTTGCGTAAGTTGGCAATTCTGCCTTGCACAAGACAGTGGCAGGGCTATTTTTTCATTGAGCAAGGCTGAAATATATATATTTATATATACTTTATTAATCCCCCTGAGGGGAAATTCAATTTTTCAATATTGCAGAGAGTTTCAGGTCTTCTTCTGTTTTCTTCTCCTAGGCTCCTTGTCTGCAATGCGATTTGTGACAGCAGTACAGGAGAGGGAGAAGGGTGGAGACAAACAGGTGGAGCAGGTGTCCCGGGAGCTGTGGAGAAGGATCTGGACTGAGGACAAAGACATCACTGAACCTGCGTCACTAGCTGAGGTACCAACGTATCCAGCGTGGTTGTATTTGAGAAGATTAAGAGGCACCGTTTAGTTTCCTCACTTTTTTTTTTTTTTTTTTTTTTTGCAGGCAGCGATGAAAGCAGGACTGTCTGACAGCGACATTGAAGAGGCGCTGAAGCTGTACACCTCGAAGGAGATCAAAGACAAGCTGAAAAATGCAACACAGGATGCACTTAATCATGGGGTCAGTTGTCCTTCAGTTGCACTTGTAGATTCAAGCAAGAGAGAAGAGACGTTACAATCTAATGACCAAAATCTTTCCATTTGTGTCTTCTCAGGCATTTGGGTTCCCCATGGTGGTGTGTCACATAAATGGAAAGCCAGAGATGTTTTTTGGGTCTGACAGATTTGAGCTCATGGCACACTGCATCGGTGAGAAAACTGTTGTACAGTGCATCAGTCACCAACACAAACACACACAATCTAAAAGTGACAATAGAAAGATTGATACAACCTTTAGTAGAGCATTAATCTGTTAGTCAACCTTGACACACTAGACACATAGACAGTTTTTATTACAGGAGTGATGACGACATTACAAACTGTGTTGTGGCTTTTCTCTTCTGTTTCCGTGGTTTGTGCAAAGTGTAGCGTCTCATTTTCAATGCGAGCTGAAGCCGTCTGAGGTTCTTAACCAATCTCATTTTGTGCTCTGTTGCAGGGGAGAAGTGGCTGGGACCTCAGCCCAACAAATCAGCTGCCAAGTTGTGAGAGACAAAGCTGCCTTCAGACACTGTTGGTGTCATTCTTGCAGATTCTTATTTTAATGCTGACTTTGATTTTTCAGTTTTCATATTTTCAGTGTCTTCTCAAGCCAAGCAGCATATGGCCAATTTAACGTAAAACAAATAGTAATGTAAATAATGTAACATACCATCGTACTGTTAAACATGTGCCTATTCAAAAAACATTGGTAGCTTGCAAATGACAGCGCTGGCTATCTTTTCTATTGAAATACAAAAAGGTACGAACAAGATGCAATTGTGTATCTGCTGCATTATGTAACACATGGAAGGTAAAGCAAGAAAATGATAATGAAAATGAACATTAAAATAAAATATAAAATAGAATGTGCATTATGCTACAGTGTTTAACATTGACACCTAAGATATTAAAATAATAAAACAAAATATATATAGTCTCTGTGCTGAGGCTGTAAGTGTAAAATTTAGCCAGCAAAATTTAATTAGCAAATACTAACATTATTAACTAAGATGGAAAACATCAGTATTAACGTGCTTAATAGCATATTAGCATTGCCATTGTGAGCATGTTAGCTTGCTGACATTAGCATTTAGCTGAAAGCATCACTGTTCACTGACAGTGTGGCTGAATTATTTTTTTTAAGGTCCTGAATTTAAACCCATTCTGGGCGGAGGCCTCTCTGTACTGGTTTCCTCCCACAGTACAAATACATTCAGGTCAGGTGGACTAGAAACTGAATTGCACATAGGTATTAATATTAGTGTGTATGTGGTTGTCTGTTTGTGTTTGCTTTGTGGTAGACTGACAAGATGTCCAAGGTGTGACCCTCCTCTTTCCCAATGAGAGCTGGGATACGCTCCACCCACTGGGAACACTAAACAGGATGTGGGTATTGATAATGGATGGATGGATGGATTAACCTTTTGTTATGAAATGCCGCTTAATACTTCCAGGGGGAAATATTTTACTTTTTAATTACATTACCTACACCACTTATTAGACAGCTCCAGTTACTAGTTTATTTTCAGATTAAGATTTTGCATAAAAATGGGTAAGACTATGAAATACTTAGCATTTATATATTCAGCCAGTGGGTCTCAATCTTTTTGGCTTGTGGCCCTCAGAAAAATGGTGTCTGATTGGGGCCCCTTGTCATTTTTTATTTTTTAGCAGTTCCATCAAAAAAAACATTTCACTTTAAAACTGCACAGATAGTTTTTTTTTTTTTAAATGAACGTTTATTTTGACTTATTTAAGCTTCAAACACTTGTGTTTGAAACTTAATGAGGTCAAATTCTCCAGTACTTAATGGATAAATCAGGTTTGAGAAAACTCTACAAAATGAAAAATCTGTGTAGCAGAACTTTGTTCTTTATTCTTTCCTCTCCCATTCATCCTCTCATGACCCCTCAGATTTATCGTGTGACCCTTTTGATAGGTCAAAAATGGGAACCACTGGACTAAACTCAATAGATATAATTACAGTTTTTCTAAATTGTTTACACACAAATACTGGTACTTGAGACACAATGACCACAACATGTAACTCATGCACCAACCCCCTGAACCAATTCTGCTGAACTACAAGCACAATTCCTGCTTCACGCTCAAATTGCAGTTCTAAAACACATTTTTTTCAAAACACTACACACAATTCTCTGCATTTGGCACAATTTTCATGAAGAAAATCTCTTGTTTTCACAAAGAACACACTGTCATTCAAAATTCTAAAGTTAATTGCCCTACTATGCACACTGACTCATCACATGGGCAAACACCTGTCACACAGTTTTACAATTAGCAATCAGAGCTTTAGCATAAAGGGCAACAGGTGAGCTTTTCTGTTTTGGAGCAATGGATGCCAACACTGGAAACAGAGGCAGAGCCAGAGCCAGAGGAGTGAGAGTAAGAGGAGGAGGACGGGGAGGACGAAGGAAGGCCAAGGACCCTAATCTCTGATGAGATCCGAGCCGCTTTTTCTGCCTGGAGATGGAAAGTGTATGACCGAAATCCACAAACGCGTATACCCCTTCTCTAAGCTATGGTAGATGCATGTGGAGATATAGCAGTTTATGCTTTTCATGGCTGGATTTGCCATGCTAGGCAATATTTCCCCCACTGCTTGGCCAGGGAAAACATTGCTTGTGATGTGGATGAGGTGCTGTGTCCAAACTGAAACAGAAGAGAGGATGCAGCATAGTTTTGTTTTTTTTACTGTAACTGTATACAGTAAATTCTTCTGTTGTTTTGTATGTAGACCACTGTATGTGCAGCTTTGTGTTGGTTGGAATGTACACTGTGTACATTGTTTTTGTGGGAAAAATAAAATATATTTGTTACCGTGTATTTGTGTGTTCTGAGTATAAAAACAATATTCTAAAATATTTTACAACACACTTATGTATGTACTGTCTGTAGTGTAACACTGAACAAAAAAAGGCCTAAGTCATTATGATGAATGGAGAAGAAGTGTTTTCCATTCATCATAGTGTTTTACATTGAGCAGATCAGTGTTCAACTGGTTCTTACAAATATCTATTCATATGATGGTTTGTGTGTGTCATTTGAAAACAAAATAACATTTTGAGAAGAAATAACATTGTTTTGAATGTAAAGTTTCATTTTGCAGGAGAATTGAGGGGTTTTGCCCATTGTGTGTGTGTTTTTTGATTTGTGTGTAGAGTTCTGAGAGTATGAGGCATGATTTCAGAAAATGTGTGTAAACAATCAAGAAAAACTGTAAAACTAGCTCCACCTTGATCAGCTACAACCGTGAAATGTTTCTCATGTATTGAGGCGTCAGTATTAACAAAAATAATGTAACATTTAATCATTTATGCAGAATAAGAACATTTACTTGGATAGTTTCAGTACATTTTATTGTACATGACTTTTACTTGTAATTGAGTATTGTTACATTGTTGTATTGATACATTTAAGTTAGTAAAGAATTTAAGTACTTCTTCCACCCTCATAACAATGCACTATCTTGGCTGACAGTGCACTGTTATTATTTTTTTTTAATTACAGGCAAATAATATTACACACAGCACAGGTGACAACATGACATGATGATATAGTCTCACAAAAGGAAAAACAACACAAGAATGAAACAAACAAAAAAAAGTTAGACTTATACAGACCAAAGTGAATAAAAGATAGGACCAAAACAATTAAAATGACTAAGTTGATAATACCAGTAAAAAAAAAGATAAATAAATTAAATTTATATGACAGAGCAAAATTATTATTATAAATTCTATTTAGTTAGAGCAAATTTTCTCCCTTTTCATGTTATGTTGTGCTACTTCACAATGATTTGTAGCAATACTTTTTTCCACAAGACATTGCACAGTATTTATTTTAAGGAAAATTCAATTTAAATCTGTTCTGGATTGGGCTTTAGATTTAAATATATTACCCAACAGAATAATTGTATTTATAATGTGGGGACAGTTTTCATCCAGGACCCCCAATAAAATGTTTACAGGCGTAAGTTCAAAAGAAATGTTGGGTGGCCCCTGCCAGTCTTAGATATCAGTCCACAAACCTGCAACACAAGGGCTGCAGAAAAACAAATGCAACTTGTCTTCCTCTTCCTCATTGCAGAATCTACACAGGGACGATTTTTTCAGTGTTAAACATATTAAGTTGTTTTTTAAACGTAATCATTTTACAGAAGCTCTTCAGTTGAAAGATCAGATAGGATAAGAATCAATTGTTGTTTTGTACATTGAACTAAAACATAGTTTCCAAGGTATCGAAATGACAAATTCGTCTTCCCAAAAAGAACAGATTATATGAGGGAAAGCAGTAAGAACACTTCTCTGTAAAATAAATTTAAAATCTTTTATTATTTATCTATATTTTGAATGGCCATTTCTGGCGTCTTGTACCAGATGCGCACACCAGTTTTTTTAAGTTTCCATTTCCAGTTAGTTGTGATAGCTGAAAGCAGCTGATTGAAATTAAAAACAGATTTAACCATAGACACAGCAGAATTATGTACTGTCTATATCTTTTTCAAGATGCAGGATTATGTGTCCTCATTTAATGCCTGTACCTGGAAAGAAATGAAGGTCATTATCTTTAACTAAATACTCCAGAGCAGGCCGAGCTTGTCCTACAAGTTTCACTTCGGTGAAGGCAAAACATGCCTAACAAAAGGCCTAAAAATGACAAAGAGTGGCAGGACCAGTTTTCCCAAACAAAGAGGAGAAAGGCAGGGCTACAAATAGTCGACATATGTTGACTTCAGTGAAACAGCTAATGACAGAATGGAGTCGAGGACACTCAAAGAAAAGGCAGGGCGAGACCGTGGACATCTATAAACCTGACATCAGTTGATGCATCAATTTTTAAAACCTGAGGAGGGAGGCAGATAGGAGGAAGAAGGAAACGGTAAATAGGAGAGCACAGGGACAAGGTGTAGGTGAGGAGGGTGGAGTTAAGAAAACACACACACAACGTGGAGCATAGACAAACAGAGCGCAGCGCATTGATCCCCTGAGCCGGACAGGTCGCCTGAGAAAAACAAGACAATAAAGATCTGAGCAGCACAACATATTCAGCTGGGAGGATGTGTGAAAAGTGCCTGGCCTTGTGAAGGAGGGGAACATGAGCCTGGAATAACAGGATTGGACATTTTCTTTTGGGATATAAAACACAACTGAAGGAGCTGAGGTAAGGATTTTATACACTGCATGTCTTTTCCTTTGCACTGTTCTCACAGTCACATCACAGAGGTGTCTCTGAGGTAGAGTGAGCTGATGTTGATGCATGATATTAATCTAATGAGAGCTTAAATGTGTGTCTCACTCTGGTTAGTCCATGTCTGGTAATCATTTGTTAGCTTTGAATGTGCAAGCAGGTGCTTCGTTTGCCCTTTGGGTGTGTGGAACAACAGTAGCATTTACAGGTCAAAAAAATGCAGGTGAACAGGTTTAGAGATCTCAGATCTGACGTGGGGAGTATGATCATGTGGTTGAAGATTGTCCCTGTGTGACTACAGTGTAGTATGTACCACATATAAAGTATTAATTTGACCTTAAAAGTCATTCAATAGTCTTGAATTTGGCCTTAAGGGTCTTGATTGCCACAAACATTTACGTTATTTCTTCTTTTCTCAACCTTATACTGTCTTTTCACTTAATACTTGCACTTCCCTGTTGGCAAAAGGTTGATAAAACTCATTCTAATAACCATATTCCTACACAAAACCCACCTCCAGCACCTCATATACTACCTACCTTCATACTTACCTGCAATGCTTCTTTAGAAAAGTAGATGATTCTTCCATAAGCAGTCTTAAATTGGGTTAAGAAAGAAAAATTTTGAAAAGGTCAGTTTAAGGGTCTGATACCTGTATACACCCTGTTAAAGCTGCTCTAAATCCAGATATACAGCATGAGGATCCCTCGGTTTAGGATGACACATTTTATTTCCGTATGCAGCTGTGGTGAAGCTCATTAAGTAATACTTCATCTAAGGATTGATCAATGATTGAGGTCTCTTTTTTGAGACCAAAGGGATCAAAGATTTTTGTTACACAAGAAGATAAATTAAACAACAATTCAGAGAGGTGTCTGAGTTTTTATTCTCATTGCCACTTGTCCGTGGCAGGATCCACAGTCTGGCATACCTCAGTCAGTGATACAACGTCTGAAGTTCTTGGTCTCAGTTACACGTTCGCCCAGACACCTTCACACCTACAAGTGTCGAGTTACTCTTCCCAGATTCAGCCCCAAAGACACCACTGTCACTTTATGTGCTGTTATCATGAATAGAAAGTGTCCTTAAGCTGTTACATAACAACTATAAGCTCATGGAAATGCTAAAAACATACTGGGTATGAAGTTTGACTGTCAAAGTGAGTAAAATGCTTTAATCTCATCTTTTTATATATTTACCAGGATGTCTTCAGTATCAGAGGCAGACTTCCGTTGCAAACATGGAGATACTATCTGTGGTGAGTTTAATCAGCTGCTTAAAGAATTTGGCCACTCACCTGCTCTGGCCTTCAGAGGCTTTGTTAAATATACCACACATACCAGCACAGATTGAACAAACAAACATGTCTGCCACTTTGACAGCACTGTGTCTCAACCCTGCTGTGTGATAGTAAAGATTTTTGTTTCTTTGTGTGTGTGCCCCTGTGTGCAGAGATCCGTGTGTATGAGCAGGAGGTGATTGTTGTGCCCATCCTGCTGCTGGCCAGCTTCCTGGTCACCCTGGTCTTCATTTTGCTGCTGCGCTTTTGTCCGGAGAAAGTCGATCGCATCCGTCCACAGGCCTCAAAGCTGACCACCAGGAGAGTGCTGCATGGCATTGATGGTAAGACTGATTACCGAAATGACATTGGATCTGTCTGCAAACAGTCAGCAAACTGATTCCATATGTGGGTTTTTGTATTTTGCTTTTCCAGGAGTTTTAATCCACAGTCCAGGTTCATTTTACTAAATTTAAGCCGAATTTCTATGCATTCATTTTTATCTTTGTTAAGCACCTTTTAAGCTGCCCTCACCCCACAATCATGGTATCATTAATTTCAGCATAAACTCAGCTATGAATCTGACTCACCATGTTGTCAGTTTAATAAAGTATGAAGCCAGCAATGTCACAGACGCTTATAAAACTATAAAAATTCTCTAGAGACAATCACTCATACTATTATAATTGAAAATTTGACCCCAAAAGTATATACACAAATACATCAGAAAAATGTGAGAGATAAAACACTGAAAGTGATTTTACCCCAGTTTATTATTGTGCCGACTCACTGTTTTAAAAATGTCTTCCAATAAAATGTTTCTGGTCATCAGACATAGGTGAGATATTGTTTAAACATCAGCACTTGTGTCTAGACTCTTGAATATGTACAGTTAGCAGTAAAAACTAGTCCACGTCCCACATCTTCTTCCACTTTTTTTTTTGTACAACAGAATTTTGAGATAGAAATGTTGTCTAATAATCACTTAGTTTTGCTGTTACATTCTATTTATGCAAATAAATGACATTTGATTTCAAAAGTAATCACCTCCTACTCTGTAAGGACCAAAGAGGAGCAGTAAAATTGCAGCTATGGGGCAAATTATAATTGTTTTAAACAACTTAAAATGTACCTGTAGTACAGAAAAAAAGGGAAGCCACTGGGCTCACTTCAGGCACACTAACATATATGACATGCAGTTAAAATGCCTTTATTAGTTCAGGGTGTAACAAAGCTAAAGATTGCAAAAGGAGAACACCGACCGGTTTCCACCCACACTGGGTCTTTTTCTGGCCATGGCTGGGAAAAGGAGTCAACCAGAATGAAAGGTCGTGATTCTTTACATAGACAACTAGTGACCTGGAGGCTGAATTATATCATTATTTGATTATTTGAATTATTCCAGCACTGCACAAGGATAAATAGTGTAACCATAATTAACGCGTACATTATATTTTTGGGTTGTTTTTATCACTTAAGTCACTGTGTTATTTATTGATGGGTACTTTATTTATATTTAAGTAGTTAGTTAAGCAGCCTGGAAGAACTGGGGAATGCCAATAGTCCTACTGTACCACTCCCATGTAAATCCCTGCACTTATCTCTAATAATGATTCTCTGTCCCCCCCGCCTCTCTCTGTCCACAGCTCCACCAGGTCTCAATGCCCTGGAGCATGAAAGCATTGCTCTGGACATGCCCAGTTCCTACTCCACCTTCCACCCCCCAAACACGTACTACTCCAAAAACCTCTCCACGGCTGTGGACACACCCGCGCTCCCACCCAACCCCCCGCCGCAGCCCTACAAGCCCAGTTTCACTCCCATCGTCCAGCCCAGAGAGCTGCCACGTCAGAGGCTGCCCGAGTCCTTCAACCTGGTCACCCCTCTGCCTGCTGCCTTCTCCCTGCGCTCCGACACCTCAGTGTCCCTCTACAGGGCCCGCATGGAGAACAGGAATGTGGTGCTGCGAGTCCTAAACGGTGAGACGACCAGACTTGAATTTAACCTAAGCCTTTAATGCTCTAATTTGCAGGTCTTTCTCAAGTGATTTTCTGTAACTGCAGAGTTCCTCTTTCATCTCCATCTCATCTTTGCACTTTGTAGACTCTGCTGACGCCACAGAGAGACACAGCTTCCTGGGCTTTGCATCCTTCCTGGCCCAGCTGGGACCACACCCCTTCCTGCCAGAGCTTCTGGGTGTAGTCTCACTTCGAGCTCCTCTGGTTACAGTGGTGGAAGAGCTGGAGAACAGAGACCTGCTCAGCTACCTGTGGCGATGCAGACAGGTATATTTCTGCAGAGGGGGATACTGCTGCTACATGTGTCAACTCACTTTATGCATCAAAATATATATTTAAAGCAAAAAAGGAGCAAAATGATGATTGTGTCGTCCTCTGAATATTAAAGTTGCTTATCTTGTTTTGTTTTTTTCCAGGAACATGTGGATCCTCCATGTGAGATGACAGAGAGACGAATATTTACCATGGCCAAACAGGTGGCCTCAGCATTGGTCAGTATGTGAACAAACATATATCCCCACCTATATTTGACTTTCAAATCCCTGGTGACATACATTAATCCTGTCCTGTTGCCATGTCAGCATTTACTTGTCGACAGGGTTTCCCTCCAATAGGCCCTCATCAGTGGTGTAGTGGAGAGTATACACAGGTGTACGGGGTATACCCACCTCTTTTTCTGTCCGTTTAAAGTATATCCACCCATCAGCCAAAAAACCTACCCACTTCCTCCTTTATAACCTACCCATTTACCTTGTAGTACACCCACCTCATAAACTACCACTACACCATGGGCCTCCATCATACAGATCATCATCATGCTGACAGTCCCAAAGATGACGAATGTCTCATTGTTTTTGCTTGGAAAAGTAGTGAAACACATTAAGAGTCTACAGCCATGCAAGCAGCTCTGGAGGCTGTAGGCTACTTTTGCAAAGCTAAATGCTAACATCAGCATGCTAACATTCTCACTGTAACTATGCTAACATGCTGATCTTACCAGGTAATGTTTACTGTGTTCATTATATTCCTTTATCTAAGGTGGTAACTTGTAAACATTTGCTAGTTAGCACTACAAGCAGCTGAGGTTGATGGTGATGTCATCAGGTATGACTGCTACTTGGTGATAAAAGTACTTACAAAAAGGTTAAGAGCTTAAATTTTGACCTGATGGGAGATGAAATTAGATGAAAATCTGGAGGATTCGACAGAGTTTTGTCAGTCCTGCCTTGAGTGTCTGAAGCTGATTTCCTGGTAATCCATCCAATAGTTGTTAAGATTTCTCACTCAAAACCAAAACTGTGAACCTCAAGGTGGCTCTAGAGGAAAATCAGGATCACCAGTGGCACATGAGACCAAAAAAGTTCATCTTCCCAGGTATAAAATTACCTGGATCTTTTGCTGCAACTTTGCCAACTGAGCAGCTAACTTTCTGTTTAGTGCTCCACTAACTTCACTGGGTGTGAAGTTAATTAGATTTAATCATGCGTTTTGTTTTGGGTTTTTTTTCATACTTTTGAGATGTTATTGGACTGAAAGACTCAAATCGGGAAAGTGAATCAAATCATTTCACAGGGGTCGTGATGCTCAAAAATTGTATCCTCTGATTTACAGACATCTTTTTCACAATATAAGTGAAGTGGGTAAAAGTCATTTTTGGGCCCCATGACATCATGTGACGGACCCAAGAGATGTAATTCCATTGTTTGGCCACTATGTAAGATTGGTGTCAAAGACTGGCACTGTTTATGGGAGGTTGATCTATCAAAATGTCATGGCAATCCACCTGATGGTTAGTTAATAGTTAGATATTTCAGTTTGGACCAAAGTGTTAAACCAATCCACTAACAGACCAAGAGTGCAAAATTGACATCTTTAGAGCCGCTAAAAAAACTGTCTCAGCCATAACAACATACTGTCTAACATAGATGCTTTAAAAATATGAGATTTTAGGAAGATCTTCACACATTTACTTCATGTCAGACTAAATTAAAATGAACTGTGCAGACTTGTGTGTTAAATCTTAAAATTCCCCTTCTCTTGTCGCCCAATCAGGAGTTCCTTCACAGTAAAGACCTTCTCCACGGAAACATTCGTGCCCGCAGCGTGCTGGTCTCCAAGGAGCACACCGCCAAGCTTTGGGGCCTGCATGGTGTCTACACAAGGAAGAACCAGGGAACCACTCAGAGAGACGATCCCAGCATGAAGAAGTGGCAGGCACCAGAGCTGTTAGCCAGGAGACCTGCCAGTCAGAGCAGCGACATGTGAGTGCTTCTGTTTTCATGTCTGGTGTTGTCTGTAGTTTACAGCCTCCAATAAAGATGTGAGAGGCAGGAAATGCATGTTCTGTGAGTATATTATTAAGGGCATTTTTGCCTCTGTGTTCCTCTCTAGCTGGTCGTTTGGCCTCTTACTGTTTGAAATGGCAACACTGGGTAAGTTGACTTTTAAGTATTTTATCCCCAAACCAACTCTTCACTTCGTGTGTGTGTGTGTGTCCCCAATGTTGAAACAAAACCTACTGTGTTACAAACCCATAAACCGGACTTTGTACGTTAATATGATTTTTGCACCAATGTGATGATGTACCTTAATCTGTATGGTATTTGATGTACTGCATTAGCCATAAAATAGACAAGCCTATCTGCCGATTTTATCCATAAACAGCTTCTCTATTGATTTTCCAGAAAAGTTACTGTGTAATACAATATATTTATATAGCAATGTAAAAATACTTATATTACTACCTACTACATGTACCTTTTTCTCTCTAGGTGAAGCTCCATTTGCAGAAATCCCAGTTACTGAGCTTCTTCAGTTTCATCAACGAGGGAAAAGTTTGAAAAAACCCTCCAACTGCTCCAACGCACTGTGAGTATCCACTGCATCCACAAAAGACACAACCAAATCAGCGTGCAGTTTCCCTCTTTAACAAATCCCCTGTGACCTCTCTCTCAGATACTCCCTCATTAAGGGCTGTTGCCAGTGGAAGGATCAGGATCGACCCACGCTGGCTGAGGTGAGCCGGAAGCTCCTCTCAGGAGAGAAAAGTGCCTCTGACAAAGTCCTCAAGGCGTCCGGGACAATTAACATTGAGCAATACCTGCAGGAGGCAGGATACGGGGAAGCCAACAGCTACACTGTTTTCTGATCCGTGCGTGTGCCAGTACAATAGTTGCACTATTCTCCTCAGTGATACCCCAACGTGCACTTCTACAGAACAATGTCTCTCAGGTGCAATAAAAGTGTTTCAGACTTGGTTATTCATTATATACATTCTCCTACGTCAGTTTCACACAATGGAAACAAGAAAAAACTGTTTACTGTGTAAGTTATTTACTTTTGGGGGCTATTTATTTTCCTCTTAGTAAGACCTCATTCATGTGTGTCTTCATCTGTCGAGGCAAAGCCTAACTCTTTCAGGTTCAGTTGGGGAAATACACCTAGTAGTTTTGTAGTAGTGCACTTTATGATATGTAAACTTGATCTTTGTACAGCCGCTGCATCCTGAACTTGTAGTCCATACTGTTAGGACGGTTTACAGATCCCAAAGCAAATGTGTATTAACAGATGTAATGTGTTATAACCGTGTTTTGTACTGTTCTATATTTAGCATTGTGGAAATGAAGGGCACATAAATGTATTTACATGTATTGACACTCACTGTTTTCTCTATAAGCTCAGTTCATGTGAACATCTATGGGCAAGAAATGAGCTTAAACTGTTTACACAAATTTAAATGTGAATAAAATATTACAAGTCCTACAGTGATCTTTTTTATTGTTATGCCTCCACGCACAGAGGCGGAAAGATAGACAGTGCGGTTGCAAATTTTGTTTTATGTAGGTGGTGATCTTTTTCATTTTCAAGTGGCCGTCATGGAGGTAATAAAAGTACACACACACACACACACACACACACACACACACACACACACACACACAGAGGTCCAGTAACAGGTATTGTTTATTGGTAGTACTGCATACATGTACACAGAGCACTTCCACTGAGCCCTTGAGAGAGCAAACCATGAGGAATACCTATTTTCAGGTAGTTAGGTTGATTAAAGCTACTAAAACTATATCATATCCATGAAAAAATAACTTTGATTGTAGTACAAAATGGAAAAGATACAAAACTAAACTTTTACTAACTGGTAAAATGAACTAATTAAAAACGCCAGGCTTTCTGAGTGTCCTTTGCTCGGTGTGATTGGAGCCTGGATTGAACGTCTATGGTAAATAAACAACTACTAAAAAGACTGTAATATATAAATGTAGTGGACTGATGAAGCCATCACTCCAAATCATATCACTAAAGTTAAAGCACCATTTGAAATACAGCAAGAAGGCAACATTTCTTTTTTTTCCTTTTCAACCCAACAGGTGAACTGTCCTAGTTAGATCTAGCACAGATTGCTGCAGGCTGGCAGATCTGCACAGTTTCTTAAGAGTAAACATACAAAAGGCTTCTACAAACACTACTGACATGGAGAGTTCAGACTGTCCATGCTCAACACTCGCATATTAACAGTATACATACATGTGCTTGCACATTCAATGTCCAGAAAGTAAACTGTCCATCCCCATGTCTCCACATGACCAATGGTGAACCACTGTTTATAAAAACCACTCTCACTGTCCCCGTAGATCTCAGTCTTTTTAAAACTTCTTACTAAAAAGGCATAGGTATTGATTCCAAAGAGAACACGCTCCTGGTGACCCTCTGAAGAACTCACCGCATCACTCGCGCAGGGTGTTGATGGAGGCACAGATCTTGAGAGCGGGACCCAGCTTGATATTCATGGTGGAGATGAGATGGTCCTCTCGCAGGAGCAGCAGAGCCTGCCCGTCTATTTCCTGTGACAGAAACTGGGCGGCCAACTCTTCACAGCCTGGACACAACCCAACAGGAGGACAGAATTAGTTTAAAATGAGAAAAGACTAGTGGCTAGGGATCACAGAACAATTACTAATTACTGAACACCAACCTTGAAGTGATGAGATAAACCTGCAGACTTCTTCCACACTCCACTGAGCAGGAGTCGATGAGAGAAAGTTAGCCCCATCTAGTGGGAGGCTGCCAGGAGCCGAACTGTCAGAGGGAGGAGCGCTGCGCTCATCGGCTCTTGAGCAGGAGTGTGAAGAGCTGGGGGACAGCGAAGGAGAATCGTCCTCGTCTTCTTCCCCATCGCTGGATACATCCTCTGAGCGACTGGACTCAGAGTGACACTGTGGCAGAAAGAGTGGAGATTCAGACACAAAAGCAAATGATAAAATGTAAGTTTAAGTATGGGCACTGTAATTTTTACCACGCATTACTCAAACAGGAGTTAACAGTGTATCTGTTGGGGACTATTTTCAGCTGTGGGATAATACACATGTAGTACTCAATGGCAACACTCGTTAGCAGGTTTTGATTTTTTCATATGATTTGTTAATTGGAAACTGTATATAACATCACCAGTCAAATCCTTTGAACTACAGATCTTACCTTAACAGGTAGGTGCCTGCTTGATATTTTATTACAGGTGATATTAGAACTGCTCCTGCGAGAGGGGCCCCTTCGCCTGGCGCCGCTCTCAGTGGGAGCAGGAGGTGGTGACAGCCCTGAACCACTCCCCCTTCTGCTTGTCTTAAAGTGTTGGCTGCAGCTCACGTTATATCTGCGAAACCAGGAGCACAGTCAAAACTGGTATGTTTGCCTACACTTGATGTAAAGCACAGTAGAGTTTTTGGAGGTATGTAGGACATCACCAAACAACAAACCAAATTAAAAACAAAGCTGAAACAGGAAGCCACAGTAAACCCTACCTCTTAGCGCATGTGTTTGAGCAGAACCTCTTTGATCCTCTGAACTGGGTGGCTGGGGCGAGGCTTCCACAGTACTCACACTTTAACACTGAAGAAGGAAGGGATGAAGTTACATTAAACATTTAGGAAATACTGATCATGCACACAGATCCATGGTACCATACTTGCTCAATAAAAAACAATAAGATCTACTCCACCACTTACATGGAGCTCCGTTCTCTGAGCGGCCAACCAGGGCGAAATCTCTGTCTTTGAGGAGTCCAGCAACCTGTTGCATCAAATACAAGCCCAACAGTGAGGAAAAAGTGCATAGCCAGTGTATTTCAAATCAGATTTTTGATTAAATGTGAGGTCTGTGTTATCATGGCAGGGCACACTTACAGGGAAGGGCTCAGCTCCCTCCTGTATGACAAAGCCCTCTATTAGGTGGGTGAGGACTTGAGGTTTGACCACTGCCTGAGGAACAGGTGCTCTGTCTTTGTCCCCATGCCCGCCTCTTGACAAGGGCAGAGGCAAGGACAGGGTGGGAGGAGATGAGAAGGCGGCTGCTACAGGAGGAGCTGGTGAGGATTGAATAAAACAAGGACAATAATAAGCTCTCAACCAAATTTATAGACTAACAGTTAAAATTTGTACAGCAAAGCTGCGCTGCTTATAATTTAAGCTTGATTTGGAGAGGACAAATTGACTCACCGGAGTCCTTTGTAGGTGCAGGGGATAAGGGAGGAGCAGAATCTTTTGTGGGTGCAGAGTCTGAAGATTCTGTCGCCATCTCATTTGGTGCATCACAGTCAGATTTTCTTTTCAGAGAGCCAATGGCAGGTTTTATCTAATGATATGTGGGGGAAAAATAGGTTAACAATTCATTATACACTGGTACAAGCCATGGCTAATCAAGTGTTCACAATAGCACAGTCCTGACATATTCCAAGTGGGCTGGACCTGCTCTGATGCAGGGTTAGCCACAAGTTTGCCAGGTTATTTGCTGAAAATGGAGTTAACCCAGGACTGAAACTTGCCAGTGGGGCCAAGTAAACAAATTTTTTTTAGAATGTTAACATGAGTTACAAGTTCAGACATTTAACCCAGGGCTAGCAGAAGTGCAGTGTGAATCACATAGCTCTGGGCTTAAGCTAACCAAGGGTTTACAATGTGTGTGTGTGAAAAGGGGCTAAGTTAGCACAGGGTCAACTCTTACAGGGTTCACAAAGAAGTATTGCCTGACTGCCTGGGTCAAGCAAAATGGCATGTCGAGCTAGTAAATCTCGACTACTCACACACTGGTAAATGATAAAAATAGAATTAAACACTGTTTTTCCAGAGCTGATGGCGGAAGTAGCAAAGGCGTGAGCCATGATGCTTCCTTGTCATCACTTTTAAAAGCTTCACAAGCACAGTACTGACAGGGCACACAAGAGAAAATGGCGGCAGGTAAAGACAAAGTGTAGGAGCTAAAAAGTATTGTAAAGTATTTCAATTATCCTGGAGACAGGAGTTCAGTTGGGTGGCGTTAGGGGATGGGGGAGTCCAACTATGTAACTGCACAGTTTGCCACAAGTTTTGAGAACAAGGCGGATAAAAGGAGGTCATTTTTCATAACAATTAACTTAAGTAATTGTTGTTAAATAGAGCAATTTGTATATGGGCAAGTAGATTTCTGACCCTCTAACGAAACCTGTCTTAGCCCAGAGCTAAGGATAGCTACCTAAACACAGAACTGACAGTGTTGCTATGAACGTCCGGTCACTGGTTGATCTTACCATAGCACTGTTGTTGGAGACGGCATTAACATTCCCACCAGCTGTACTATCCTGGGCCGTGCCGCCTCGTGCCTGTGCCAGAGCCACAGCCTGTGTGTTTCCTGCTAAGCCCTGCCTGGCTCCCACAAGCTGCACAGGGATGTGGGGAGTATTGTGCTGGTTGTTGCTGGGTGGTGCTGGGAGAATGGGAGGTGGATGTCGAGGAGGCAGCTGCACAGGTACACGGTGTCCCTGAGCTGTCTTGGGCTGTATTGGCACAGGTCCTTTCTCTGCAGTAGTGCTGGCCTGTTGTAGGGGCTGCACCACCAGAGTCTGCGTATTTATGTTGGCTTTTGGGGTCACTGAGCCAATGGGGTAGCCCTGGGTGGTGGTAGGAACATTTGAGGTGGGTACCAGGATCACAGGGGCAGCAGAGGAGGACAGGAGGAGCTGGGAGAGAGGGAGCGCTGCAGAGGAGGTGGAGGAAGGAGCTACAGAAGCAGCAGGAGTAACAGTCTTTACAGTCATAGTGTTGGTGGTGGATTGCTGAGTGAAGTTGGCTTTGGCCATTTGCTGCTGCTGTTGCGGTTGCACTTGCTGCTGCTGAGCTGTCTGGGCGAAAGTCTGCTGCTGCTGCTGCTGCTGTCCGAGGGGAAAGCCGGCGACATCTTTCCTCTCTGGAAGCTCAGACTTGACAGCTACTGCTCTGGGACTGGAAACGCAGTGCAGGGCCAGATTCTGCACCTGTAAGATAAAGACAGGAGTAGGTTGTGGTGAAATGCAGTTGGAAAAAAAATTACAGGAGAGTACTTGTTGGAGTCAATGACAATCATACGTTCCTGTCACACATTAAAGTTTGTAAGATTTTGAACAGGTCAGACTTCACATCACAGGTAGGTAATGGTGCTCAAACCTGATCACTGTCTGACTGTGCACTGGCAGTGGTAGGAGCGACTTCATGCTGCTGCTGTTGTTGTTGTTGTTGTTGCTGCTGCTGCTGCTGCTGCTGAGGCTGTGTCTGGGCAACTGTTGCCACAGTAGCTGTTGCTGTACCACCAGGCATGAAGATGAGCTGAGAGGCAAGGGGAGCCCTGAGAGAGCGGTTGACCTGTGTGCGGAGCAAAACAGATGGTCAACCTTTGTACATAGCAAATATTTCAATGAATGACTCTTTAACTACACAAAATCCTAAATGATTTGCCAACATCTGTAAGTGCTAAGTGTTAGTGCTCATTTTTAAAAGCACTTCAAAGCAATCGTGCAGTATTGCTGGTTCTCGAGAAACTTTTTTTTTTAATTTTCTGCTGATGGAGTTCAGTTTATGTAGGTTTTATCTTATGTATAGTTACAGAGGCTTTTACTGTTTAGACTAACAACAGAATTTTTACTTTGGTTCCAATGAATACTGCTGCTCTTAGTGATGCAGAATGCATGAAAAACCCAAAAGGGAACTCTTTAGAGCACCAAATCAACAAGCTTTTACAAACAGAACAAAGGTTGAATTGTTATATCCTAACAATCGGTGACACAAACAGGCACAATATACATTCATTTAATTAATTATGACTTAAAAATGGACACGACGCACAATACTTATTAACTCACCCTAAGATACATCTGTCCCTGTCCTGCAGAGTTTCCACCCAGCAACACTGACTGGTTAAGTGCTGTTGTTGTTGCAGAGGTGGCCGGGCCATGGGGACGGGGATTGGTCATGGTACCTCCCGCTGATGTGGTGCTTAGGTTGACCTGGGAGGAACAGAACATTTTTAATCAAATGTACCTTTAAAAAACTAGCTGTGTAATTCAAAATTCAAACAACAATCAACATAAGAACCTACAGTGGTGGTTGCCTGGGACATGCTGTTACTTGGGGTATTGGATTGACGACTAGCTGCAAGCGTGGCCTGGTTCAAAGAGAGAATTGAAAGGGATGTGGTGTAATGATTCTGCTTATTATATTTTTGTAATGACTAAATTTCCCTGTGATAACTCTGGTTACCTGTTGCACAGCAGCCAAGTTGTGGAGTTGAGCATTGTTGATCTGCTGCTGCAGCATGAGCTGCTGGAAGTACTGCGCTGCATTTGGCTGTCTTTGAAGTGCTTGTAGAGCCTAAACAAACACATGAACACACAAACATACATGTCTAATCCACAAATATTTATATTGATGTATTACTAGCAATTCAAGATAACATTATGAGTCTGTTCATCACACACATGCAGTGGTTTATGCACACCTGTACAGCCTGTCTTTCATATAGAGACATGTGGGCTATCTGGGGTGCACGAGAGTTCCCACTTGTCTGAGGATTTCCATTGGTAGTGCCTGCGTTTTGGTCTTCACCTGCATCCATATTTGCTGCTCAAAACACAGAAGCCACTCGTCAAAAGTAGTTGGGACCAAATGCTTTTGCTGTATACACAATAAACAATAACAATTTCCATTGATTGCAAAACTTTTTCACTACAGATATCTTAGCACTGCAACATCCAATTTTGCACACTGTACTGGAGTCACACAATGAAAAATGGACATCTGACAACTTAACTAAAGTAGTTAATAGCTCAAGTGCATTACAGTCAAACTCGGTGTCAGACTTTCCATTACTCATGTTGTTTTTAACTCAGGTAAATTACAGATTTTTTTTTTTTTTCAGAGGACCCATAAATCACAGCTTACTACACCCCTGCACAAACACTACTTTTAACTACTTAACGTTACGAGACTGACCGACATTATTACTATACCATAATAGCAGATGCAAGCATGAGTAATGAGGTATTTTCAATAGCAGACCGGTTGTCAACATGACAGATGAATGCGAGAGAAAGAACAACATGGAGGAAAGCTCAAAACACCAAGTGAGAAAGAAGCTAGCCAGCTGTTGCTAACTACAATGGACTTACCAGTTAGCTTATCCATCTCTAACCAAGTCTGACATGGTGTTAGCATTACTTAAAAAACATTAGTTTATAGACGAGCTAGGAAAAAACGGACCGAGTGCAGAAACATTACATGACAATGGAAATACCGTCAGTTTTGTGCTAACAGTAGTAAAAATGTGCAGCGTAAGTTTAACACAAGCTAACTAATTAGCTATGCTAGCTGCTTGTTGCAGGCAGAAAGCTAAGCTAGCTGGCTATCACCCTGGCAACAAGTCATCGTTTAGTGTTTCCGGTGTGCTTATGTGTTTACCTGTCTTCGGTGTTTCTGTCCTTTTCACACTTACATGCACTCAAGTTTTATGTTGCGATCTTGATTTTAACTGCAGACAACGATTAGCCCCCTTTTTTGCCTCCAACGAAAACCCCGCCCCTTTCAGCCCCCGTTCTTCTTCTGCCTCTTCTTTGTGTTGGCGGAGGACGAACCGACGTTTAACAGCGCATAGCGCCACCTGCTGGCGGAGTATGGAGAGCACAGACACACTGACGTTGCAAAGAGCTCTTTGCTAGTAGATAAATATGATTTGCTTCTCCTTTGACTCAATTTTCAAAACACTTTAAGGATGATAAGAGACAAACCAATTTGCTAAATTCATATCTTAAAACACTAAATGTTGTCCTTGCAAAATACAAGGCATAAAAGCCTCATAGTCATCTCTCAGTCAAGTCATTATACAACCCACTGTCACAAAGCACACACCTGCCTGAATCATCCAGCACTCTCGATTCAGATAGGAGCAGCGGAGGAGAGATTAAGCGTCTTTTAAAGTTATTCTTAAAAAAATTAAATAACAGTCACAGAGCCATTGTCGTTCCTTACAGTTTCCCATAAGGTCTTCTATAAACCAGCTAAATAACCTTCAGAAAACTTTTAGAAAACCTTCAGAAAACCATTGGGGAACATTGCCTGAAGGTTTTCTAATATTAATATGGTCTCTTTTTCAGAAACTAAGACTAAGACTCCCAGTGCTGTTATTTTTTGGAACTGTTTTTCACAGTCAGTAGACTAATATGGAAATCCAAAAAACTGAGTTTACAAAAACACATCACTGATGTACACACACCAGCCTCTTTATTAGGTACACCTGTTCAACAACTCTTCAACGCAAATAGCTGATCAGCCAGTCACGTGGCAACAACTCAATGCATTAAGGCATGTAGACATGGTCAAGATGACCTGCTGAAGTTCAAACCGAGCATCAGCTCAGTTTTAGGAGATTGGAAAAACGTTGCCTGGTCTGGTGAGTCTGGATTTCTGCTGCGACATTCAGATGGTAAGGTCAGAATTTGACGTAAATAACATGAAAGCATGGATCCATCCTGCCTTGTATCAACGGTTCAGGCTGATGGTGGTGGTGTAATGGTGTGTGGGATATTTTCTTGGCACACTTTGGGCCCCTTAGTACCAACTGAGCATGGTTTAAACACCACAGCCTACCTGAGTATTGTTGCTGACCGTGTCCATCCCTTTATGACCACAGTGTACCCATCTTCTGATGGCTACTTCCAGCAGGATAACGCACCATGTCACAAAGGACAAATCATCACAAACTGGTTTCTTGAACATGACAATGAGCTCACTGTACTCCAATGGCCTCCACAGTCACCAGATCTCAATCCAATAGAGCCCCTTTGGGATGTGGTGGAACGGGAGATTCTCATCATGGATGTGCAGCCGACAAATCTGCAGCAACTGTGTGATGCTATCATGTCAATATGGACCAAAATCTCTGAGGAATGTTTCCAGCACCTTGTTGAATCTATGACACCAAGAATTAAGGCAGGTGTACCTAATAAAGTGGCCACTGAGTGTATATACTATAAATACTATACTATACTAAAGGCTACTATAAGCTACTATACACAATTGTGTGCAATTACAGACTGTCTTTATGCATTTATGAGTACAATATTATTATATTCCCAACAGCAAGTTTGTTTTCTTATCTCTTGCCAATTTAAACATTAAAAGTATTTTGGTTCTTGTATTCCTTAAAAAAAGGAATCAGGAATACAGGTCATGAGGTTATGGTGACAAGTTGAACGGTGTAAATGTAAACTATCAAAAAAGATGCAGAGGCAGAGTGGAGAGGGGACAGGAAATAACAGAAGTTAGGCTATTTATTGAAAAAAAGTGCACCTGAAACCTCATCATTTAATGTGTTCTGGGGGGTGAGGAGAGTCTGTGATGATAGGACACTGCTCTGGTAAAGTTACCTGTGTAAATGAAAGTAAAACAAGATAACTGACGACATCATTTCAGCCCCACCTTGCACCTTCAGGATATGTTCATAAACACTGAACCTTTAAAACCATCAAGCGGTAGGCTATATTTAAATAGGAATACCACCAGCTATGAGTCTTTGCCCTCAAGACTGCAGGTTTGCTTTTTAACATCATTATAATTTTCTTTTATTACCTCACTATCATGGCAGATGTTTCGGTTTCAGAATGAAGACTTATGACTAAGTGCACTAAACCAGTCTTACATTTGGATATAGTTTAGTGGAGTTTCATATTGTAGAGGCGGAGTGTAATTTATGACTTTCGGCGTCATCAAGTAGCCATGTTTTGTTTCTGTTTCCAGCCAAGTCCTTCTTTGAATAAGGTCTCTTAGTAGAATCAGGTTTTTAGCCTTCAGGCTTCATTTAAGAGCCACTTATTCAAAAACAAAACTCAGTAAAGATTATTTCCCCTGAAACATCTGCCAAATGGAGTGTATGGTCAAAACACTACTAAACATTAGCAAAGAAGATCTTACCTATGAAGTTCACTTAAATATAACTTATTAATAAAGATGTTTTATGCATGAAATGTTTTTATTAAAACATTTTACATTCATTAAATCTCCAAAGGTGAGTGCACTTGGGTGTGTACTGATTTCACCACCACAATGGGCATATACACAAACTACTTCTGTATTTTATTTTTGATGGAATCAGAAAACAAACAAAAATGGTTGGTGGCTATTAAATCACTCTAGTGGTTCACTACAACCGCAGGTGTACAGTAACCATTTCCACCAGATGGCGATCCAGGAGTTGGTTAGGGTTAGGATTCCCTGAACTAAGCAAAGAAACGTCAAACTAATGAACACAAAAAGCAAGTTATAGAAACAAAACAAACAGAAGTACTCACACTGATAATAATAATAATAATAATACTAATAATATAGTAATGTGATTCACAACTGAAACTTCCTGATGCCGTCTTGCCATCAAGGCAGAAAATCCTGCTTTAATCTTTAGCATTAATTGTTTGAAATCTATAACAATATTACAGTAAATTAAGTGCTTTTATTGCCTCGCTATCCTCCTAAAGAAGCAAAGCATCAGACAGGAAGCAGCCTTAATATTTGGTCAAAGACAAGTACAGTCTCCTTAATAATGTCGGTGTGTTTTGTCACGTAGGTTCCCAGATCAGTTTACCCACTATAATATTAATTATTTAACAGTTCTGCTAATACAAATACTGTTCTTCTGCCGTGAATGTTCATTAATTCTAAGGAAAAACAAGTACATATATACTGCATATATACCATACTTTTTCAAATCATAAATAATGAATAGTGGAATTCATATATTTCTCACAGCCCATTACTGTTGTCACATTAAGTTGAATTCTTAATTTAGCACGATGTTTTGCTTCTAATTTTCTACGTTTAGTGCATCAGTTTAACAGCACTGTTGACCCTTCTGATAAAAATGTAAGAGTTTAGTTACAACTGTCAAACTCAGATTTCATACAGGACCCGGCGATACTCAACATTTTAGGGAGAAATTAGCGCTGATGTAAAATCTTTCCCCTATAACGTGGGAAAAAGGAAACTATCAGTTGAGCTATGGTTTCTGCAGTGATTCCAACTTGCAAGGCAAAGTGTAAGCACAGTCACAGTACTTAAAAATTAAACATCTCTCTCATAGCATTTTCAAAACACAAAAACAAACTGATTAAAGCCAAATTTACACAAGCAAAAGCACTTGTGTGTTTTGTAGCCTGCAACTGTCAGTGCACGATCAGAACCCGGGAAAAGCAACTTGCTGCAACCTGCACTGACAATAATTAGCTTAAGCAGAAAAACATCATTAACAAGTCTGAATTAAGTAGGAATCCAACTTCTCAACTCTTCCCTTATGTGTCAGATTTCCATGGAAGAAGAGTCACTTTCTGTTATCACTCTGTCATCACAGATGAATCACTCAGATGTTTGAAATCAAACAGCTGAATGAATGTTTGGGGGTTAGAAGAGGAGACGGGTCTGTCAGCCCTATGAGTAACATGCCCTCTCAAGTGCCAAGCAGATCACACAGTAGTTGCCCTAGGCATAAGTCTGGAATACAAGACAGTGTTGACAAGTCCTAACCTAAACCAGCTCAAAAAGAAAAAAGAAAACAAGACTTGTGTCTAACAGCAACTTCATGTAACCTGTGAGAGAGTAAACTGTGTCACACAGTGAAAATTTCTGTCCCATTTCTGACACGTTGAGGTCACATAGGCAGTAAGTGGTCATCTCTCTCCTCTGGCTCCTCTTCTAAAGGTTCTGAGGCCACTCCCCTGTAAGCTGGGGCTTCCTCCCGATTACGTGACCGACACACAAAGTCGCACCCGTCCTGTAAAGTGTGTGAAAGGTAAAGTTTGTTATGAATTTCCAAATACGTCACATACGCCTGATCTTTTAATGACGTTACTTATCAGCTGCATTCGGCTTACCGCTGTCAGATTGCCAAACTCCACCCAAAAAGCATAATTTGGGAATTGCTCCATCCCTTTGGCTCCGACAATCAATCGCTGGTAGAGGAAACCTCCGATGAGATAAACAGCCAGAAGACAGAAACCACTGGAAGAAGAGAGGGGCCATGATCACTTAACAATTATAATAGTATGCCCTACGTCACTACATCCTGACAGAAGTAGAGATAATCTGTGACAAAAAATCATGTTCCTCTGCCTTCTGGTAGAACCTATGATGGCATTACAATTCACCGTAAATGAACAGCAGCAGCCAATCAGAGCCGAGGACTCTCAAACACAGCTGTCAGTCATGTCAATTACTGTTTGTGAACAGCAGTCAAACTGTTAAAATATGCAGCGCTGATCAAATATGAAACAAGATTCTGTTACTGCATTGATTATTTCTCACCTTGAATGCTGCCAGAAACATATTTTAGTGTACTGTTTTGTAAAATAATAAAGTTTTTGACTGGCCATGTTGAGCAGCTCAACCATAAGAAGCACCGCCAGCAGAAAATGTTCTCATTTTACAGCTTAACAGTCACTAAAATATGTTTCTGAAAACACTTAAGGTGAGAAATAGGCAGTGCAGTAATAGAATCTTGATTCACATTTGATCAGCGCTGTCTAATTTGACAGTTTGAAACTAGTGAC